ATCTTTAAAAAAAAAAAAGCACAGTAGCTGGAACTTGAACCCAAGGGCTTCGGATCACGAACATCACCTTCTTTGAACAAAGGATAGAGTTGGGGACTCTGACTCTGTAGCATCTCTTCCCTGAATTCCTCAGCCCCTCACCTAGACTCTGGGTGTAGTAATGTGAAGCCCTCGAGTGCAGAGGAGGTGAGACAAGGCTGGAAAGGGTGTCAGGTAACCCCTCAGCATCTCTGAGGTCTTATTGACAGACACACGGACAGCGCAGATACCCAAACAGTGCGTTGGTATAGATGGCAAAGTGCCCTTAACTTAAGATGCTTTACTGCCATCTACTGGGAAATTGTCACAATAACCGTGCAAATCTATGATGCCTCTAGTGTGAGATGATGCCCCTCTGGGACTGTAAAGTGCAGAACAGGGGCAACTGTGCAGGGCGGTGCTAGTTGCCTCTTTTCTTCCCTATGAGAATGAAAAAAAGCAGGTTCACGCCACAGCGGCAGCTCCAGCACTTCCTTCTTTCCTGCCTGGAGCACCTGACTCAGAGGGTCTGCAGGGGTCTGTCTCTCATGGATTTACCACCCAGGTCCCTGGAGAGTCCATGCATCCTTCCTCCTACTCTGCACATGGCCAAGCATTTACTCTGGGCCAAGTTCCGTGCTGAGCACTGTGGGCACAACGTGGCGGAGCCCAGTCTCTATCCTTCCTGGAGCAAAGTATTAAGTCTCAGCACTATGAAGCTATTGGCAGCCACTGCAGCACAAATTTGATCCCCAGCCAGGGAGCTAAGCTACCCACATGGTGCAGAAGACCTCTCCTGTCTCTCCTGCTGCTCCCCTCAGCAGTGTCTTTCGGTCAGTCCACCTGTTCTGCTCCCCATTCTGTCTCTGGTGAATCCTCTCACCCCCTCTCTCCCTGCACCTCTGGCCTACACCCCAGCTCTTGTATGCATAAAATGAAAAGAAATAAAATGAAATAAAATTTCATTTTAAACTTGGCATGATATGGTATCCCAAGGTCTATGTCAGCTGGACGTATGAGCCTGCAGAAGGTTTCCTAGAGAAAATGACAGCTATGTAAAGCCTGAAGGATGAAAACAAGGCAGTCAGCTGGGCAGGAAGTGTGTTCTGGGCAGGTGTCACCACATGTTTAAAGGCTCTGCCCAGGGCAATCTCCCTGCATAGGTGGGCACTAGAAATAATGAGTTGGTTTCTAACTGAGGCAGCAGTGGGGCTGGAGTATGAGCTCACTCAATCCTCACAACCACTGATGAATAATTATTACTCTGCCCACATTCTATGGCTTATCTTGAGGCTCAGAGAGGTTAAGTAACTTGTTCAAGGTCACATAGCTGGAAAGTGATGAGTCAGATTGAATCCAGGTCTGTGTGATTCTGGGAACTGGCCGCAGCACCCCCTGAAGTTGTAACTAGGGTCAAGGACAATGTATTCTTGCCATGCAAGGCCTCAGATCCACAGTCTTTCTGTTCCTGGGATGTGGGCTTCTGAAGTCTCCTTGTTTCTCTCTTGAGGCTTACTTGCTTAAAGACATTTTAGAAATGTATTGGACATTTTTCTTGAGCATCCTTTGTCTGAATCAAAGTATGTGACTCTACCCTGGACTGTTTGGATCCTCCACTACTTATTGTCTGTGAGTTCTTGGACATTTCCTACCTCTGGCTCCTCCCCTGTGAGATGTGGACACTCTCACCGGGCAAGCTGAGATTGAAGTGAAATAATGTGTATAAAGTCCCTGGCACATGGTTGATCCTTACTGCTCCCCCCAAGTGGTCACCTGCTGACTTTCTGTGGTAGAGACTCAACAATCTTGGCCTGCTCCTGGTGCTGTTAGACTCTGAGTTACACACACACACACACCAGGCAGACAGATGGACAGTTCACCTGGGGAACACGGGAGCTCTGGTGCAGTTTCTTCAGAAACCACCAAAACCCCTGGACATGAATGCACATGAAGTGCCCAGCTCAGAGCTGAGCCCAGAGCAGACTGGGACTTAGGGCGCACCCCTTTCACCCTTTGTCCGCTTTCAATCCCTGGCTGGAAATGGATGGGCTCCAGGACCCTGATAGCTCCCGTTGGACAGTTGATGTCATGGGACCAGGCCTGCCAGCAGCATTCAACGCAGCAGGCTCGCAGGCTGTGGCTTGACCAGGCCTTTGTGGGCTACCACTGGTGCTGGGATCAGGGTCACTCAAGCCTTGAGCTTCAGTTTTCTCTTTCATAAAATGAGGCCAGTAATTCTTACTTTGCGCCATCACTGCAAGAGTTAAAATACAAGAAAAAAATTGCTCTATGGCAATGACAGAAATAAGATCAACACAAAATGCATTATAGCCCACACCACGAGTGATGGGATCCATGGGGCACGGATGCTGCTCTCAACTGCCAGTCACTGGGGGATGCTGACATGCAGGTGCTATACGTGATGAGTAACCAGAACACAAGCCCTTCACCTTCCTCCACACTTCTGGGAGGGGAGGAGGGGACAAACTTTCTGGGGGAGAGTTTGGTAATTAGGGAGCCTTCTGACCCAGCCACTCGCTTCTAGGAATTCAGCCAAGGAAATAATCATAGAGCCTCATAGAGTTGTTTGTGCTAGAACATTCATTGGAATGTTGCTAATAATAGTGAGAAATTGGAAATAATCTAAAGTTAGAGATGCACTCAATACACATTTTGGCTGCATGCCAGATGGCCTAAGCATGAACATCAGTGTTCTGCTGAAGTCTAGGCCAACGTCCAGTATCACCTTTACGGAACAAATGTTTTTGATAAAGGAGAGCATCTATACTTTCACCAGAGATTGTCTGGGATGACAATTTCGTCAGTAATGAATTTCATTGTTGATGTTTAATCGTTTGTAGCTTAAGAACAATACTTTCCTAGGGCTTGCAGTAGCCAGCTTGCTCCTGTATTCTGTACCAACATGTTTGTGTTAATAAATCAACGTTTATTGGAGCCTCCCTGGTGGCACAAGGGGTTAAGCACAGCACTGTGAAGTTATCCACAGCCTGCGCAGCATGAGTTCGATCCCCAGCCAGGGAGCTACCCACATGGTTCAGCAGACCTCTCCTGCCTCTCCCGCTGCTCCCCTCAACAGTCAATCCAACTGTTCTGCTCCCTACTCTGTCTCTGGGGAATCCTCTCACCCCCACACCTCTGGCCTACACCCCAGTTCTTGTATGCATAAATAAATAAATCTAAAAAAAAATCAATGCTTATTTTGACTGATAATGGCAGAGGGTGGAGCCTCACTTTTCTAATAATTTCTTCCTTTCTTCAGATTCTATATACTCTTTCCCATGTTGGGTCAAATATGATTCACCATGGATATTGTTACATATAATTTTAAAGGTTTTCTTCCTCTTGAAATTGGGAGGTTGGTTGACATTTTGTTTTTAGTTTATCTTTTTAAGGCCTAAGGCGTACAGAACTACAAATAAGGTTTTTAAAAGACTCTGTGACCTAAATAGAGTAAGAGTAACTAAGATTTCAATACAAATTTAAATGATTATTTTGTTTAGTGTTGCAAATGCTAATATCCCAAATAATTCCACAAAGATTCCATTTGTGGAATCTCTATTATTCTGTTTCATATTATCATTTTAATATCCTATTGTTACCTCAAAGTTATCTTTTAAAAGTATCTGGCTGACCTGCTTTCTCAATATTTGTAGTAACTATCAATGTTTCTTTCTACATCTAAAAACTTGAAAACTCACAATGATTGTTTCTGTACTGTAAAAGAACAGTGTGTATAATTGTCACGAGTGATACGCATTTTACTCTTGCAATCATAAATAATCATTTAATCTTTAACTGACAGAATCCAACAGAGCACAAAGAAAATCATTAATTACAAATCACGTCTACAAGGATATCGTTATTTGAAAGGAATTATTTTTTTTTTTAATAGAGGCATGTTTTATTTATTTATTTATTTGTTTGTTTGTTTGTTTTTGTTTATACATGCACTGGGTACAGTCAGAAGCTCGGGAGGGTGAGCGAATTCACCAGAGCCAGAGCCGGGAGCAGAGCAGGCAGAAGGACCGAAGTACACTGCTGAGGGGAGCAGCGGGCGGCAGGAGAGGTCTGCGCGCCATGTGGGACCCTCCTCCGGTGGCCGGGGAGCAGCTGGGGATCGAACCAGCGCCTTCGAGGCCGCGGGCAGCTTCGCAACCCAGCGCTCAACCGCTGCGCCACCGGGGAAGCCCGAAAGGAATTATTAACAGTAAATTGAATGACATGTCGAGTGTGTATCATGAAGGTCATTAAGCTTCTTGGATGCAAAGGTTATTTACACTGTGAGTCATGTTCAAGTGCAGGGACCCCAGAAATGACACTGAAGTCTGAATTTTGTTATCACTGTTTCAAAGGCCAAGGCTGAAGATGAAGATGAAGACCATGTTCTAAACAGAAACAAAATCAAAACCAATTTTTAGCGTGTCCCTACTAACCCGTGTCCCTTCTGTAAGGGGGATATACAAGGTGTCCACTAAAAATGATATTATAGAAATATATCTATCACCATGGGAGGAATATTTTACTATTGCTGAATTTTAAACACTGTTTATAAAGTAGAATGAAGATGTGAGCCTAAATTTGTAATTAAGAGGGAAATTTCTGCATAGGTAAAAAATTTAAGATACATGCAAAATATTAATGATGATTAGCTCTGGGTTTAGGATGAAAGGATTGCTACTTTATTTCCAATTAAATTTGTTATTTGGAATTTTCTTACAAAGCATGTTACTCATATGGCTTTTTAAAATATAAAATAACTTGGGCCTCCCCTGGTGGCGCAGCGGTTGAGCGATGGGCTACGAGGCTGCCTGCAGCTTCTGCAGCACCGGTTCGTTCCCCGGCCGCCGGCGAGGGCCCCACAAAAGTAAATAAATAAATAAATAAATAAATAAATAAATAAATAAATAAAATAAAAAATAACTTAAGTGCATCCTTTTGTCTTCCCTCTCTCTTTCACCCAGGACCAGATTTCAAGCCTGCTGAGCTGGACAGATGGTTTAGGACACTGACCACAGCTGCCTTCAGCTCTCACTGCCCATGTTCATTAGAGGTTGAGGCTTTGGCAGCTTGGAGCTTCCCTTCCTGGGCCTGTTGAAGGCAGGAGAGGTGATAAGAGGAAGGTAATGGTCAGTAGGAGAGTGGGGAAGGGTGGTGGGGGAAGGGAGAGGCCCATTTAACGTAATGAAGAACTGGAATCTCAGAGGCTGGAAGTGCCAGGGAAATCCTGTTTCTATCCCAAGGCCTGGAGGGGATGAATAACTTGAATGTGTCTAAACTTTTGCATAGTAGAAGAACTCCAAGATTTCCCCCCAAATCAGTTTCTTCTTCCTCACAAGTTTTAGTTGGTTCCACAGTAACCTGTAACTATGTATGGTCATGTGATCAAGTTCTGGCCAAAGAAGTAAGTGCCTGTGTCAAGTGCAATTTCCAGGAAATGTCCTGGAAGAGAGGGACACAAGTTTGTTTTCCTTTTCTCTCCTGTTGACTGGAATATGCACATGATGGCTGGGACAGGAGCAACCATTCTGATCCATGAGGCAACATGCTTAGGAAGATGGAGCAACAAGATGGGACGGCAAGATAGAAAAGTCTAGATCCCACCTGGACTTGCTCCTTTAGACTTTACTTATGGGAGGGTGTAGTAAACTTCATCTTCATTTAAAGCAGTGTTTTCTTGGAGTTTCTATCAAAGCCATGGAATCTAGTCTTAATTAATTATAATGGCCATCACATGGTACTTACCATGTCAGACACTGTTCTATGGGCTTTACAGATGTTAACTTGCTTAATCTGTGTAACAGCCTGATGAGATGGGAACTGTAATTGACCAGGTATCACAAACCAGGAACCGGAGGCACAGGAAGGTTGACTCACATGCTCAAGGTAACGCAGTGGACTGAAACCAGATCCTAGATCATCTGAGCCAGAGCCTGGCCTCTGATGGCCCTTTTGAATCTTCTCCTTTGCCCCCATTTCAGATCCCCTCTGATCCTTCCAGCCTCTACTGCAGTCCTGATTATCTTAACTCTACTCCCCTTTCCACCTCACTCCCTGTCACCAGCAAAAAGTCCATTCTCTCTATATCTTGTTTTGCAGAGAAAAGTGAAAAAAAAAAAAACAAAACAAAACACTAGCTACTTTATACTAAAGTGTAAGAGATCAGCATCAGCTTCCTATCTTACCTTCTGTAAGAAAAACAGGGTCTTTATTCCAAGTCAGTGTGAGGGTCAATGTGTGAGAGACAGAAGAACCCGCCTTGGTGAGACTTGAGCAAGTGGAACCAAGTGGCCTGAATTATATTTCTGTTGCCCTGTTGCCAGCCAGCCCTGCAGCCTTGGGAAATCTTATAAGCATTCTGTGCCTCCATTTCCCCCTCTCTGAAATAGGTAGAGTTGGACCTGACGAAGCAGGGCTGTTGGAAGGGTTAATGAAATAACCTCTACCAAGGCACCTGCTCTCCTGTCAGCCTGGCATATGAGTGGCAGTAAATATAAATCTTAAGTTTCTTCATCCATTGCTCCCTCAAGCCCATTTTTTAAGGGTCAGATATTGAGGTATGATTTATATACAGCAGTAGCCAGATTGAGAAGTACAGTAGCCTTTTGAGAAGTACAGTTCTACATATAATCACCATCTGGGTCAAGTTACAGATTTCCACGCCCCAAGTAGTTCCCTCATGTTCCTTTGTCTCCCCATACTGTTTCTTACTGGTTCTAATGTTTATTGGGCACTCAGTGTATGCCAGGCTCTTTGCTAGCTGCAGAAGTAAAGCCGATGGGGTAAGTCCCTGCTCTTGGTGCTTTAGAGTCTATCAGATAGACAGAGACAAAAAACAAGCAAATAAACACACACGCAAACAAGATCATCTCCGAGGCAGTAAGTGCTGTGCAGGAGGCAATATTGGGAATATTTCAGTAGAACGAATCAGCACTATGAGGTGGCATCCCTGTCACTTACATACATGACAAACTACAAGTTAGTTGAAATCCCCTTTCATGGAGAGGGAATTTGAGACTCAGAGAGGCTAAGAAACTCTCTCGAAGTCACAAGGTAAGTGAAGGGGAAAACAGAGATTCAAGGCCAGGTTAGCCGACCCCAAAGCTCACACCCAAAGCTTGTGCTGTTTTCATCATCTGTGCTGCCGCTCTCCTGGGCCCTGCGCCATCACTGCTGGAGCAGCAGGGAGATGGGGGCAGGAGTTGCAGGGGGTACAGGGGTCTGAAGTCTGGCCTGCCTGCTGCTCTGTGACCATAACAAGTATTCAGACGAGTTAGTCCTACAGACTGCAGTGATCTTGCTTTCCTGGCCTCACCCCCTCCTCCTGTAATAGAGATATCAACCTTCTGCCTCCTTCCCTCCCATGCAGGACACCTGGCATGGCAGGGCTCTCAGCGGAGGCAGCTGATACCCCCCACCCCGCGCCTCCTGAGCTTCCTTCATCATGAAGACATAAACCCAGGTGTGTCAGGCAGCTGGGTGTGCACCCCCAACCCCTTTTCTTCCCTGCTCTCCCTCCTTTCCCTGTCTCCCCTCTGTCCTCTACCTCCTTTCCTTTACCCCCCTCTTCCCTCCTCCCTCCCTCTCTCTGTCTCCTGCAAGCTTTAAGACAATAGGCCAATTAATCTTGCTGCCACCCTCTGGGCTAGCTGCACACTGGCCCACAGGCACAGGCATCCCTAGCAGGATTGCTTCAGCCATCCCAGGAAACCATGGCTAAGAGGCGAAAGATCACATTCATTCTGCATAGCCTGAAGACTCTGCCAGACGAGCCCAGATTTCCACCCTGATGCATCCATTGCCAGGGAGACCGCTGGGGAACCCGTCACCCAGAGGGCCACACTCAAACCTGCCATGCAGACTTGGGTGATAGCATTCGCCTGGTCACACACATACTCCCCAGAACCACAAACAGCAGCGTGCTTGCGAGCTTCTCCTTTGTCCACTGCTGGCTGGCTTTATTCATGCAACTTTACATAAATATCCTGCACAGAGACATCACGCAGGTATTTTATTCCGAGGAAGAATGTTACATCGCTCTTTCATTTTTGCAAGTAACATGCTCCAGAGTAGTTAAGTATCGATGAAGTTTTTGCACAGTAAATCATCGCTTAGCTCAAACATAGGCAAGACCTGCAAATGAATCTGCAGCACATTTCTGAACCTCAGTTTCTTCATAAGAAAAATGGGTTTAATCATTTTTGCCCCAGCTAGCTAATAGGGCTGTTGAGAGACAAGTGGAATGAAATTTTAATTTTGTAGAAGCACTTTATAATCTGCAAAACACTGTCTGACATCAAAGTAATGGTATTGTTGTTATTATAAAGATGTAGAGGCCAAGTAAATTACCATCTCCAAATAGAAATTCTGTGATAATCCAATTTTCACGAGTCTGATTGGTTATGATGATTACACTTCCATGTTTTCCAAATGCAGGCAGGCAGGGGTGGTATCATAATAAGTCTTCTGGGGTCTGGGGAGGATTTTGTGGTTGCCCCTGGCTGTGAGTTGTTACCAGCAATAAAGAGGATCCTCTTTGCAGATATCTATTAAAATCTTAATTTCAGGGTGCCTGCTAACCTGGAGAGCCCAATCTATCTTCACCCTCAGTCTGAAACAAGAGCATGAAAATGAAGGAGAAAAGCTCCACAATCTGCTTAGATATGGCCCCTTGCACCTTGGAATGTTCTTAATCTCAATCACTTGGGGACTGTAGGGCCAGACAGATATGTGAACGGGGGTGCCCCACCCAAGGGAGAAGCTGTTTGCTGCATAGAGCTTCTGTCTTTGTGCACAACATTTTGAGGCAAAATGGATTGACTGCCACTTGGGAGAGAATTCATTTTATGCCACACCTCCCTAAGTTATTGAGCTTTTGGGCACAGATCTCTGGAAATTGCTCCCAGAGTACACCTGTCTGTGCTCCTCCCTGTGCCCCCACCCTTGCAGATACAGTCATAGTTTAACTCTAACAACATATGACAAGAGCAATGAAGAACATAGTTTCTAATTGTTTCCTGATGCTGTTTGTGGAGGATGAGACTATAGTTAGGGTGGGTGGCAGCAGGTGGCAATACCCCCCCACCCACTTCGCCTCTGGTAACCTCAGTTCAGTGTCAGCGTCCACTAGTTTATTTTCATTTTGCTTTGTCAGTTCATCCACTCTGTTTCCCTCTATTCCCCCATATGTAAAATCTTCCAATATTTGTCTTTGTCTTTTTAGCTTGCTTCTCTTCCCTTAATCCCTTCAAGTGCCTTTCATTTTGCTGAAAATGGCAAAATTCCATCTTTCCTGATAGCTGAATGGCATTCCTTGTGTGTGTAGACCACATCTTCTTTATCTAGACTTATCATGGGCATTTAGGTTACTTCCATATCCTGGGTATTGCAAGTAATGCCACAATAACTATGGTGGAGCACTTAGTTCTTCAAGTAGATGTTTCATATTCTTTTTTTTAAAGATTTATTTATTTATGTGTACAAGAACTGGGGTGTAAGCTGCAGGTGCAGGGGGGTGAAAGGATTCACCAGAGAGAGGGGGGAGCAGAACAGGCAGATTGACTGAAATACACTGCTGAGGGGAGCAGAGGACGAGGCAGGAGAGGTCTGCTATGCCATGTGGGTAGCTCCCTGGTCGGCCAGGGATCGAACTCGTGCTGCAGTGGCTGGCAGTAGCTGGCAGTAGCTTGATAGCGCTGTCTTTAACCCCTGTGCCACCAGGGTGGCCCTGGTTTCATATTCTTTAGGTAGATGCCTAGAAATGGGACTGCTGGACGTTCACCAGACATTTCACAGAGTTAGGGATGTAGCAGAGAGGCCAGTATCAGCAAGTCATCAGTCAGCATGCTTTTACTCAATGGTTCTTCCAGGCAGGAAGAGGGGGGCCTCCCTGGAGGCCTAGGGTATCATTCTTAGTCTGAGTTCAATCCCTGCCCAGGGAGGTGACCCACATGGCGCAGCAGACCTCTCCTGTCTCGCCCGCTGCTCCCCTCAGCAGTGTATTTCAGTAGATCCGCCTGTTCTGCTCCCTACTCTGTCTCTGGTGAATCCCCTCACCCCTGCACCTCTGGCCTACACCCCACTTCATCTATGCAAAAAAAGAGAGATACAAAGGAGATCCAAAACTATTTCCAACATAGACCAGGAGCACTCATTTTCCTTGGATAAAGATAAGGATTCACACAAAAGACAGGAGGAATAAGAAGCTAGAGCCACGCAATCTCCTGCTGGGACTGAGCACCTTGATGGGCTCACCATCACCAGGTGATCCTCATCCCCACCAGGTGACATCACCCCACTTTATGGATGAGGATACTGAGAGCAGTAAAATTAAATGACTGGCTCAAGAAGCCACAGCTAGGAAGTGGCAAGGAAGGGCCCATTTTTAGCTTAATTCTGATGGGGCCAGAATCAAAGTGAAGTTTTCAAATTGACCTCCCTATTGATTTTGTCCAGGATAAGGTACCAATTTTAGAAAAGCAAAATCACATTTGACTGTACTTCCTTTCAATTCACCTAATGGAGGAGGGGACTGAGGAAACACTAGCTCTAGATCTGACGTTTTAATGTCCTTTTCTTTTGATCAACTAAATATCTAAATAAACAATTGTTCTTGTCCATTTGTGCTTCGGTGGCCAGATCTGTCTCTTTCTTGGCTGAATACTCCCTTCCCCCACTAACAGCTTCCCACATTCTTTAGCTTCCCCCTCTCTCTCCTTCCCTCTCCTCACACACACAAATTCAGACACACACCTTCCCACCACACACCCATATGCAAAATAAAATTAGAAATACCAACCCGACTCTCAAGGTATTTAGGGAATGGAGTTCTGCAATCAATACAGCCCAAACCAAGCACTCCAGGCTCCCCCTCCCCCCCCCAGTCAGCGTGAGCAGCAGGCAGAGCTAGTGAAAAGGGCTAGACAGCCATGATCCTACACACAGGGAACCTAGAGAGAAGGGCCATTTGTGCTTCCCCCACATCTACCCCGTGGTCATTGGAACTCACAGGGTCACCAGAGTCTCAGAGACCAACACCTGGCATGCCATTCTTTGGCATATATGTAAGACCCTTTCAGAACATGAAAAGCTTTTCTGGCCCCTTTTTATTTTGGTATATAGTGATAAAATGCAGGGAAAAAAACCAGTATCTGATGATTCAGAAATAAAAGATTGAGCAGATAAGCATAGAGCCCTCATTTTAAGGGATTGCTCTTGTTTTAACCAACCAGTTGAGAAAGCAATAAACAATGATTTATTTATTGCGTTTGCCTTCACCCAGGGAGTGGGACAGGGCAGGTGAGTGGGCTCGAACAGCCCAGGACACAGAGAAGTGTTGGCATCAGTATTCCTGCAGTGCTGCTAAGGCTCTGCCCCTCCATCCCCATGGCCACATACTGACCAGGAGTGCCCACCCTCTTGGCGCCTCTCATTACCCACCCCAGAAAAGTGGAGTGGGCCAGATGGGGGTGGGGCCCTCCGGGTAGACGGTCCTGTTCAAGCTCAGTTTGGATAATCCCTCTGTTCTCCTTTCTCCCAAATCAGAGTTCCCCTGGGTCTCAGGGTGATGCAGGGGTGTGCCGAGACTGACAGGGGGCACATTTGTCCAAATTCAGGCCCTGTCACTTACCCATTTTATAACCTTGGGCATGTGACTTAGTTTCTCAGAATCTTAACCTCCTCATCTAAACTGGGGGTCCTGGAGTTTCTGCTGAACTGATTAACACAGCTGTCTTTATAAAGACGAAGCACAAGGCCTGCCTGCTATTAACCAAATCAAATGTGTCAATAATCGAGAACTAATGCTCCAGTAGAGCTGACCATGGCTGGCCCTGCTTCAGGACTTTACATACATCTTGTCCTATAATCCTCACATCTCTGTTTCGCAGAGGAGGAAACTGGAATGTAAGATCACCCCATGGTGAATGGTGGATATTCAGAGCCAGCAGACAGGCTCCAGAGTGGGAGGGGTGGCCGCTCTCCACCCCCCTCTGTGCACCATAACAGATCTTTATGGGTGTTGCCCCTGGCTAAGCTCGCAAACCCCCAGGCTTCCCTGGATGCCGGCAGATAGCAGGGAGGGTTGTCCGCCCCAGCAGGGAGACAGGGCTTGATGGCTGAGCATCCACACTAGGACTCAGTCCAGATCCCCTGCTTGGAGCCGGTGTCTGAAGTCAATCAGGGCACCCCAGCACGCTCAGGGGGGAGCCGCGAGGGGGGCAAACCCACGATGCTAAAGAGGAGTGGCCAGAGCGCCGCCCCCAGGAGGGGAGGGAGGGACGGCGGGGGCTGGGGGTGCCCAGCTGCCATCCCCGCCGCCTCCTGGCCCCCACTCCCTGGCGCCCAGTGGGAGGACAGCAGCTGCCCGCTCCCTCCTCCTCACACCCCCGCTACCTGCCCAGTCCCCGAGGCGAAGCGTGAGGAGGCTGTGAGCCAGCGGGGCCGAGACCACAACTTTCCAGCCTCGGGGAAGGAGCGTCTGCGCCCAGGGCTCCTCTTGCCGGCGACCAGAGCTCGGTGAGTTCCTTCCCCAGCCTTCGGCGCTGGTGCTCGGGGGGCGGCTTCCCGGCGTCCGGGAGGCGGTGGCCGGCCGGTCAGCAGCCTCCCCGGGGCTCGGGCTGAGCCGCCCTCCCCTGCGCGCGCGGCGGGCGCCGGTGCTGAAAGGACAGCTCCCCGCGCGCCCCGGCCGCAGCCCGGCGCCGAGTCCCCCCTCCCGCTCCCCGCGGGGCCTGCGGCGCCCCCGAACACCCCTCACTTCCCGGCCCCTCTCCTGCGCCTTCCAGGCGCGCCGCGGCGCATCTGGAGGCTGCTCCTTCGCCCCCTGGCGACCGGCGCGGGGAAGACACTCGCTACGCCGGGGCCCGCGGCCGGGCTCTCCGGGGTGGCCAGAGCAGCCGCAGCCTCCGAGGAGGCCGGGCCCGCGGCGCTGCCCACTCCTCGGGGACCACACCCGGGCGTGCCCTAAGCGGATCCCTGGCCGCGGAGAGCGGTCCGCGTCCCCGCCACGGAGGCCATGGGTCCTTGGGGGCTCTGGCACCTGCAGAGGGGACTCCAAGGTGATCTGTCACCCAACCGGCACGGGACAACCTGGGCGCAGGCCCCGTGGCGTCCGCTCCTGCTGGGCGCAGCTACCTATCCAGAACTTTTCTCTGCGCCTCGGGCTCGCCACTCCTTAGCCCCTGGAAAAGTTCTCTCGGGCGCCCGGAATCCTATTTCCTGGTGGCTTCCGAGGCTGGACAGGAACCGGGCTGTGGGGGGCGGGGTGGAGAGGGCACGCGATGGGGGCTGCGCTCTGCCGGGGGTCCACCTGCTGAAAGGCTGACCAAAAGGATCCGCTCCCGAGCCCAGGGCCGCCTGGTCGGTATCAAAAGGGTTTGGGCGCCATAGGGGTTGTTTGGGTTTCTCGCTCCAGGAGGGCGGGAGGCTGGCGCGAAAGGGGGGTTTTCATTTCATCGCCTCAAATGAAAACGCTCTTTGCAAGGAAATAGCCAGAGCAATCGGAGTTGGAGAGATGGAATGACCAGGACCGGCTGACACAGGTATTCTGGCTGCGCCCCCCAACCCCACCCGGTGCTTGAGCGCTTGTGTGAACGCATGGATTGTTTCTATTGATTTTTTTTTTTTTTGAAAAGCTAGGTGGCAGTGGCTGCGTTTGTACACACAGATACACACACACACATACATTCCCAAGCACACACCGATTACATATACAAAGACACCACAAGGACCCCCCTCCGCTCCCCGGCACCATGAACCCACCACGAATCCACACGCAGGCATACCATCAAGGAGCCTTGGGGTCTCTGAGTATCACCCAAGACTGGGGGTAGGCGACAGTGGGGACAGGGGGTGCAGAAAAGGGAGGTGAAGCAGGACCTCCAGTCATTGCTCTCTGCCCCTGGCCCCAAATCCTTTGCTTTCTCCTTCTAGGGAGATCTGAACTCTATCTGGCTTCATTTCCATTGTCATAGGGAAGCCTTAGCCCCCAGCTCGCCCATCCCTTACTGACTATGAACAAGCTGCATCTTCCTTGTGTCTGACCTCCAAGGCGCCAGGGCACCACGGTCCTTAAAAACCAAGGGAACAGGCACCTGGAGGAGGGTCTGTCCCCCTAAAACCACAGTGGTCTCAGGGTCTCACAGCCTGCTTGGTCCTGGGTTAGAGAAAAGGGGAGCAGAGGGCTGAGGGACAGGGGTGGGGGAGCATGGATTTGCTTGGAACAGGACCAACGGACGGGGGTGGGGTGGGGGTGAGGCACACCCTGGGGCGCCCCCTGGACACTGCGGTGAGTCTTCCTCTCTCCCTTAGGAATGTAATCGAGGATGCTGGCCCTGCGGCTACTCAACGTGGTGGCCCCCGCCTACTTCCTGTGCATCTCCCTGGTGACCTTCGTGCTGCAGCTCTTTCTCTTCCTGCCCAGCATGCTTGAGGACCCCTCGGCCACCCCGCTCTTCTCGCCTGCGCTGCTCCACGGGGCTCTCTTCCTGTTCCTCTCAACCAACGCCCTGGGCAATTATGTCCTGGTCATCCAGAACTCCCCAGACGACCTGGATGCCTGCCAGGGGATCTCGGCCAGGAGGGCTCCGTGCCCCCCACCCAGCACCCACTTCTGCCGAGTGTGCGCCAGAGTCACCCTGAGGCACGACCATCACTGTTTCTTCACTGGCAACTGTATCGGCAGCAGAAACATGCGCAACTTTGTCCTGTTCTGCCTCTACACCTCCCTGGCCTGCCTCTACTCCATGGTGGCCGGCGTGGCCTACATCTCTGCGGTCCTGTCCATCTCCTTCTCCCACCCCCTGGCCTTCCTCACGCTCCTTCCCACCTCCATCAGCCAGTTCTTCTCTGGTGAGTGGACCTTGGCAGGCAGGTTGGTCCTATATGAAGACCCCACCCCAACCCTAGCCCCAAGTTTGCCAGATTTAGCAAATAAAAGTGCAGGATTATAATTTCAGACAAACAACACATAACCTATTTGTGTAAGTATGTTCTAAATACTGCATGGGACATACTTGCACCAAAAGCATTTACTGTTCTCTCTCTGAAATTCAAATTAACTGGGCATGTTGTATTTTATCTGGCAAACTCCTCCCCCGCCATCTCCTCCTTGCTTGCCCCTGTTCATAGAATTGTGGCAATCAGGCAATGCACTTTACCTGTGCCAGGTGGGGCTGGGAACTAGCCACCCCTCATGCAGCTGTGAGGTACATCCAAGCTGTGACTTTCCTCTGCCTGGAACCTCCCAAGGAATTTGCCCTCAGGGTCTTGCCAACCAACCACAGTGAGGTTGACCAGGGTGCCCAGCCAGCCCCGGAGGAGGTGAGGCCCCACTTTCCCACCCACTGTGTTTGAAACCACCACATTGTTCACTGATCTTCAGGGGCTCCAAGCAGGGGGCATCCCCGAGATGCTGCCATGTTTAATGGCTCCATTACCACACCACAGAGCTGCGGGCTGCTGAGGGATCTGTCCCTCTAGGAGGGCCTGACATCTGCAGGAGCTGGGCCCTTGGGCCTTCATACTGGGCTCAGCTGGGCACCCTGGTAAAGGCTGGATTGGATAGTGTATCTCAAGGAGAATTCCCTGGTTCCCAGAGGGGCTGACTGGACCTGACCCTTGCTGGCTGTTCTTACCATTTTACCTGGACTTGAAATTTGCCCCTATCTCATTCCCTTCTACTCCGTCTGCCCTGGCCTCTGACTCTGACTGACCTGGTTCTTGAAATGAGAAGAACACGCACACATACGTGTATGATGTTGTTACCACCATTTTGCAGATGAAGAAACTGAGGTTCAGATGGGATTGAATGGCTTGCCCAGGATCTTACTACTCTTGGGTGACAGCCTCTGGCCTGCCTGGTTTTTAGACACCCACAGCAGGGCAGGGGATAGAGGGTGTGTCCTCACCTGTTGACCTTTCAGGGACAATGAAGGCAGAATGCTGCTGCTTCCCCTCAGGGCCCGGGACTGATTTGATGTGCTGGGGCTGGACATTCGAAAAAAGAGGCTCCACTAGGGGAGAAGCCTCCATGTGGTCGATGTTGGGGGCATAGTGTGGTTCTTCCTGGGCATGGACTGTTGTGCATTTGGCAGCGAGAACACAGAGGCCGAGGGAGGACCCAGCTATGGGTGTTGCCTTGAGGGCTGGTGGCTGATAAGGGACCAGAACTCAGAGTTCGGGTCTTCTGGATCCTAGTGCTGGCACAGGAGGATGCTGGGACAGAAATAACCAGAACGGGGGAGGCTAGGTGGGCGGGCTGGAGGGTGGAGTGTGAGCACCGGCAGGTGCAGGCATGAGGAGAGCCAGAGAGTTTGATTACACTTTTTTTCTTTTCCAAGTGGTTTCATCACATAAAAATGGATGGTTCCAAAGGGAGGATCTTGAAATGGTTTGAGATAAACCTGGGCTTGAGGCTGGTCCATATGTGCTAGGTTTGGGAGCTAGGGAAGAAATGATCTCAAGGGAGAACCAAGCCAGATCCACCAAGGATCTCACTATCTTTTTTTTCCCTCACCTTAACCACTAGGAAAAGGAGGCCGAGACTTCTAATCTCCAGCTTTCCCATTGCATCACCCTCTTTTGCCAACCTTTCATCTCTTCCCCTTGCCAGCCCATCCTCTCCCTCCCACAGAACCCCCATCTGGACAGCTTCTCTTTCAAGCTCTTCTTCCCATGCTCTCAATCCAAATGGCTGGGGGTGCACCCTCTCTCATTTTCTCAGGAGGGCATGTGAACGGGAGGGAATACAGCATGAGATGTTGACTAGATCGAGCTGTCCCCAGTGGTGACACTGTCCCCTGAGTCAGGTCTGCCACTGGCACACAGGATGGCAGTGAGTCTCGGTCCTGTGAGCCAGAAGTGGGAGGGTCTTCCAAAGTGAAGGTAGCTGCTGAGCACAGTTCCTCGGCTAATCACAAAAAGGTAGGGGACTGGCCACTTAGATTTCTTTTGGCTTCATGGGACCAGTGCAGGGCTGTCGACTCTCTGAGCTTCTGTTGTCTTATTTGGGAAATGAAGATGACACAGTGTGATGTGACCTGTGTCGTGTCCTTTGGGTAAATACACCAGCCTGGGGGTGCGACTGGAAAATCCAACAGAAGAGAAAGGGGACTAATGTTTGTTGAGCACCTATTATGTGCTGACCACCCTGCAGGCCTCATCTCATCCAGTCCCCATGACCGGTCTGTCGGGTGCCTGTTGTCATTGTCCATTTAAAAGGCTCAGATCAAACATTCAGCAAAGTTAAGCTGCTTCGGTATCACATGACAGTATATCTGACTCCAACCCAAGATTTGGAGAGAGGGCTGCTGGCCCCCAGAGCTCACTCTTTTCACTCCCCCACACTGCCTCTCTGAGGCCATTGCTTGATGCGTGAGTCCCTTTGGGAGGGAGCGAGCCTCCTGGCTGGCCCTGGCTGGCTATTAACAATACTGACTAATGATTTGAAAAAGGTGTTATAGATGCTTGGTGGGAAGCAGGGGTGGAGCTATTGGATGCTGTAACCTTTCTGTCCCTCTAGGAAAATTCTGTGATTTTTTCTAAAAGAAGCAGAACTATTATTAAATAGATCAGAGGAGCTGAGGCTAAGCAACTTCAAACACATCCAGAGAAAGCAGGTCCCCAGAATGCCTTTTGTAGCTGCTGCATGGGGCCAGGAAAGGGCCACAAGGTCTTCTTCATACCTTGATTTAGTGCCAAAAAAGAAAAAGTCTGGAAAACAGTCTTCATCCGCCCAGGCGTGTCCCTGGGGCTGAGTTGCAAGGCAGGCTTAAGCTTGACAGCTCTGATGTTCTCACCTCCTAGCCCAGGGCCATCTTTGCCTGTCAGCCTTCCTTGAGCCCACAGGGCACCATGGTCCCAGCATCCTTCCTCCTGTGTGTGGCTGCCTGAGCTAACCTGTGCTGACAAGGAAGAAGTGGGTCAGAGGGGCCCAACGTGAGCCCTGTACCACTGCTGCCCATGTGCCAGCAGAGGGGCTGCTCTAAATGCCAGCTGGAGCCAGCCTTCTATCTCCTAGTCAGCTGTGCTTATTTGTCTCCAACTCTGCAAAGAGAAACCTACCATCAAAGCTCCTTGGACTGAAAGTAAGAGAAGGTTGCTAATGCACAAACCAGGTCAAGTTCAGATCCTTTTAACAGCTGAGTCCACCACTACTCAGACTGAGTAAGTTTAAAAAAACCTGTCTTCAGGAGGTGGAAGTTGGAGTCTGGGGAGATGAAGGAGGAGGTGGGTTGAGACTGGGGATTCTGGGAGAAAGGAGGGATGTGCTAGAGATTTGGAGAGGAGGGCTAGGTCATTAAGTGGGGAGGTCTCTGGAGCAGGAACCCTCACCTCACTGGAGAAGGTGGTGGTAGGCTGGCCCTGCAAGGACAGAGCAGTTGAGGGGGGCCCACCCCCAGGTCTACTACCCTGGCTTCCAGGCAAGTCAAGGTAGGTGTCTCTTGCAAGACTGTGAAAATTGTAGCCCAACCAGGACTCTGGAAATGAGCAGGAGAAAGCTTGATGGCCTTAGGAAAGCAGCTTAAGTTGTTTGGGGATGTAGTCTCCTCCTCTGTGCAAGGACCTTCTACAGGGGACACTGCTGATTGTAAACCAGAATTCTGGCCACTTCACAACTTCCTGGAGTCATGCACCGCTATGGAATCATTATTATTGTCCCCATTTTACAGACTAGAAAGTTGCACTCAGAGGTAAGATACTTGTGCAAGCCCATACAGCTGAGAGATTCAAACCTCCCAGGGACTGATCCCCAAATCTGACGAAGAGTGGGGGATCTCTTACTCCATGGAGAGTTACTTCCACATCAACTAAGTAGTTATATATATATATATATATATATATATATATATATATATATATAGTTTATTTGTAAAGGACTGTAGTGATTGTGTCTATACAGATAAAGTCAGTAGTAGAGAAGCTCTGGGCAGGCTCTTCCCAAGGCAGGGGGCTGGGCTGACAGCCATGGGGGCCTCTTCTGGCCTAACATCTTGGTGGCCACACTGTCCCCTTGTTAACCTGAATGACTAATTTTTTCCCTGTGTTGCACTCTGCACTGCCCTTGGAGCTCGTGACTTCTTGATGACGAGGCCGTGCTCTCCATCAACCTGTCACGTTCCTTTGTCTTCCCTGCCAGTGATCCCGGCTGCAGAAAGAGAAGGTGCTGTTGTCTAGACAGCTGCCCGGGCGCAGGGGCCCTCTCGGGGATCCTCAGCTCACCTTTCTCTCCCCCTGAGAAAAACTCCTTCTCCCTGTTTCCAGCCCAAACTTGAGCAAATCTGACTCCAAGAAAAAGTTAGCACCGAAGTGTTGGCCAAGGAAGCTTCCTTCCTTTCTCCCCCACCCCTTCACTTCCCCCCTCTCCCGGCAGGAGCCATCAGCACTAAGAAAAAGTTAAAGCAACTGGTTCATCCTTCCTCTCCCTGGCTGCCGTTCTGAGATTGCTACAAAATGCATCTTCAATCTCATTAGCCTCCCTCCCTCCCTAGCGGAAAGCGTCTGCCTGGATCGAAGTTCTGTACGTGGCTTGGGTATAAAGCGATGCTGATGTTTTCCCCGCCCCCACCCCTGCAGGAGCTGTCCTCGGTTCTGAAATGTTCGTCATCCTCATGCTCTACCTCTGGTTTGCCATTGGCCTGGCCTGCGCTGGCTTCTGCTGCCATCAGCTGCTGTTGATCCTCCGGGGGCAGACCCGCCACCAGGCGCGGAAGGGGGTGGCCGTGAGGGCCCGGCCCTGGCGCAAGAACTTACAGGAGGTCTTCGGGAAAAGGTGGCTGCTGGGCCTGCTGGTGCCCATGTTCAATGTTGGAGGTGAGAGCTCCAAGCAGCGGGACAAGTAGCAGGCACCCCATGATTTCTCTGTGTGTATTGTGGCACCTTCTGAACATAAGACCATGGCACCCTTGTCTCCACTCATGATCCACGAAAACCTTGGACCGGTAAGGTCCTAGCATCCACCCTCCTGGCCTGTGACAGAGAAAGGAATTCGTTGTTGGATCATGACAAGGAGGAAACATGAGCACCTGCCATTGCTGGCTTCTCCCACAAGCCAGCTGGGTGGCGGCTGTTAGGAGGCCTCTGCTTTTGTTTCTTGTCTTTGAGGTCCCTGCCTTCCTCCTCTGGCTCCCCACAGTATTTCACATGATCACTGCTATCTGCTAGCGCTCTCCCTCTCTGCCTCACCTTGGGAGTGAGGAGTGGATTCTCGCTGGCTGTCGGGATGATGTTCCCCAGGAGCTGAGACTGACAACATGTTTAAAGAGGCAGCCAAGTCAGCTCTGCCAACTGCTGGGGAAGTTGGGAAGTGAGGGAAGGTGTCCTAGTCCCTTCTATGGGATTGCGAGCAATGGAAAGGAATAAAGAATTCCGATTGCTGTGCATTGCCACCCCCCCCCCACCAAGTTACAGGGCCCTTTTTCTGTAAGACCTAAGTCAATGGCCTAGGGATTCTGGCTGCAGTTGCCTGCCCACCCTGCTCCAGCTGGGCCTCCTAGGGCCTGACTGGCTGCTTTTTTCTCTGCTTCTCCCTTGGTTTCCAAACTCTGGTCTTTGCTGGATGCTGGGAAGACCAGGACGAAGGGAGAAGAAAAGTGGAGAGATCAGTAATGATAGATGCAAGTGACTGCGTAACTGTATAGGAGGGTGTGTGGGGGGAACTGAGGAGTAATGTTATGAAAACAGAGAAAATGTGCGGGACGCACTGGGATATTTGAGGAGTGAGAATGAGGGAGGAAAATGGGCTCATTTCTGCCCTGGATAAAGGACACTCCAGCAGTTAAAATTGTTCGGTATTTGAATGGCTGCCTGGGATGCAGTTAGTGCTCCATCCATGCAGGAACTCTGGCATGCAGTCATCTGGCAGGCAGACCAAGGAAAGAACTTCTGCATAGGGTCAGGGAGGGGAAGTTCCCTAAGGGAAGATCCTTTCCTTCTCCGAGATTCTAGTGTTATCCTCATGATTGTCAGGTCCAGAGGCTGCAGAGATGCTTACAGGGAGGGTGGGGCAAACATGGAGGGGTCTGGAAATTATGATGTAAACTTTCATCAGCCCCGTCACTGTGGATAGAATCTCTGGAGAGGAAGGACCACCTGAGTGTTAACATTTGTTGAGGGGGTTGGCGTTTAAGGGCAGGGAGATGAAGCAGTGTTGGGAGCAGATGGAGGCAGTGGTAAAGCTGGAAGATCACACTCAACTCTGGGGTAATGTTGGGAGAGTTGAGACTGAGCGGGTCAGAATACAGGGGTGCAATTGCCAGAACAACCCTACTCATCTGGGGGACTTGATGGGGCCTTGCTGTGTGTTCTAGGCACCACAGGACCATACCCCTGGTGACTGTGAGGGATTGCAGACTATCCAAGTGCCCTCCTGACTGGGTCCCAAGTTCAGTCTGCTGTCCATGTAAGCACCAGGACAGATGCCCACACCCTAAGTGTGTAACTGGAGGTCACAGTGATCCCAACTGTCACCAAACAACACCCTGAGTTCTTTGGGAGGACAGAGCTTTGGGAGGACTTGACCTGGGTCCAGCCTTCACGCCCTCTAGAGGACTAATGTAGTGATGGCTCTACCCCCTCCTACTTTTCCCCCCATATCTGCTCATTCATGCATCCTATATACATTTCTTAAGTGCCAACTATGTGCTAAGTCTCTTCCAGGTATTAGTATACAGTGGTGAGCAAGACAATAAGATACTTCCTTTCGGGCATCTGATCACAGCCCCCAGGCACTGTCTCCCCCTGGTGGTCACTTGGCCTTCTAGCTCCCCAGGTTGGTTCACTTGGAGGGAAAGGATGTGACAGAGATGACTGAAAGGGAGCCAAGGCTGTCTGGATGGAGGTGCCATTGGGGGCAAACTTGCCACCAGTTCTGGCCACACTTAAGTAGTGGGAGTGGAGGGGAATTTTGGGGGAGGGTCTGAGCGATCCAGGTCTTCATTCCTGCCCCCAAAGTTCACCTTGGAAGTCAGCCCTGCCATTCCCAGCCTCCTGGAGGTGCCACACTGTGACAGTTGACGTGGGGGTAGGGAGCAAAGGGGTTAGCTGGTGGCAGATGGGTGAGCGGGGGTGACAGTAGGGAGCTTGCCAGATATGGGACTGGAGCAGCATTTGTTCACGTGTCCCTGTATCGTTGATGAAGAACATCAATAAAATATGTGGTTTTAAATTGGATTTGATGTGATTGTATGGGCACTGTGGCTGGTAGAAGGGCTGGCAAGCTGGCATGCACTGACACAGTCATACCAGCTGTTAAAATATTTAAGGTAAGTATTAAAAATACTTCTGTTCCAGAAGGTGACGAACCATTGTTCAGACTCCCTGAGTATCCATCCCTTGCTGCTCCATCAGCCTTGGTTCCTCCCCCGGGACTTATCCCACTATTTAGCAATTGAAAGGCTAATTCCAGACACCTGGATAGGACCCCCCAGAACACTGCTCCAGCCTCAGCCAGTATCCATCGTGCCTGGTCAGCATAGGCTGTGTTGGTGAATATCTGGATATCCTCACCCAGTGGTGACATCCATGGTGGGCTCTGTGGTCCCATGGGACCAGGAATGGCATGTCCAAGCTGGGAACTTTTCTCCTTCTCTGCAACTCTCCCATCCCTTCCTGTGTCGGAGGACAGGTGGGGAGAGAATGGAGCCGGAAGGGCACCTGCTCCTTCATCACAGCCAGAGCTGACTGCTCCCGAGGGTCAGCCAGTGTCCCTGCCCTCTCAGACTCTTAGACCATGAACACCTTGAGGGCACCCAGGAGGGGGTTAAGCCCTGCAGGCGTGGTCCCCAGCAGGTGAATGGGCATGAGCTCTGGTGCATCTTAAACACATGCAGATGTGGAACTGATGTGGGACACAATGGTAGGATAATGATTCTAATTGGTCTGTTGAAGAATCTTTAGCCTTGGCTACAGATGTATATGGGTCTGCATTCCCTGAACACACACCAATGACCTACAAACCTTCAGATGTGGACAGGCGGGGAAGGGGTGATTGAAGCTAATCCTCAGCACATTCTAGAACATGGGTTATCTACACTCCATGGGAAGACACACCTGCTTTGTTCACTTTAGTATCCTTGATGCCTAGCAGGGAGCCAGGCACATAATAAATGCTCAGCAAATGACTGACCGAATGCACAGAATTTGTGCTCACTTGCTCATCCCACATCTCTTATTCCCCTAATGTGCCCAGCATTGTGTTCTACACGTTGTGAGAACTTGAGGGGCTCATAGTTGGGCGAGCCCCTGGGAGAGCTTATACCAGCTCTAGGGCGCTACAAGCGGCTGTGGGAGCCAAGTCTCCTTGGTCCCCTGTTTACACAGGACCTGGAAGGATACATGAGACTCAGCAGGTGGAGATGGATCGGGAGGGGTTTCCAGTGGGGGAAACAGTGCTGGGATCTGAGAAGGATGGTGGAGCAGGGAGCACAGAGGACATCACAGAGAAGCCAAGGAGCTCAGCTTAAGAGTTGGGACTTGAGCAGAGGGGACCTTGAATGCCAAGCTAAGCAATCTGGAGTGAATTTGAGAAGTAATAGGTGTCTTTTGAAGGTTTTGAGCAAGGGAGCTCCATGATTAGATTTCCAAAAGGGAGCCCTGGCCATCGACTAGATGCTGGAAGGGGGCTGGTAAGAGCTATTTGCTATGACCTGAGTGTAATGTAACCGGGCTCTGAGCGGGACCAGTGGCTGAGAGCAGAAAGGAAGAGAAGGTATGAGAGCTGCTTCACAGACATGGATTCTGACTGGAGGAGGGGTGCTGGGGAGGGGTCTCAAGATAACCCCGAAGACTGGGACCAGATGATCAGGGTGAACTCCAAGCACAGGCCATCAGGAGCACTGGGTGGAGAGAAAATCATGATCCTGGGGTTCAGGGTCACCCCACTCTCCTCTGTCACTGACCCATCAGTTGGCAGTGGGTGGTAGGTATCATCAACTATCCAGTCTGTAACCTTGCATGGAGGAAAGGGTTCAGGACGATCTGAAGCTGCAGCACAGCTCTCTGACACCCCAAATCATCTGTCTGTGGCAATACAGGTCACAGGTTCCGTGGCTTACACATCCAGTGTCAGACAGGATGAGCCACGTGGCTCCCTGGTGCCTCAGTATTCCCATCTGGAAAGTGGGCCCTCTGCTTTGGCCCAAGCCTTTGTGTCAGATTAGGCAAAAATATGGATGGCTGCACTGCAGGGACTGGGAACCAATGGAGCCTCAAGAAGAGGACAAATTGAGATCTGAGCCCACATCCTCCCCTCTACCCCCCACTGCACTTCAAGGTGGGAACTAGTGCTAGGTCCCAGCAGGCCATCTTCTAGCCAGCCTCCTTCTCTAAGAGCATGGCTGTCCTGCCACTCCATGCAGTTGGCCCCCAGGTGTCCTCCTTCCCCTCTGTACCTTGAGTCCTCCAGCAGGCCCTGTTGCTACCCCCTCTCCCCATTCTGCCCTGATTCTGGGCAAGCTCTCGGGGGTGCTTGGGAGGCAGCGCTTCCTGTTGGAGAGAAAAGGAAAGGATGTGTAGGGAGCAAGGCCCAGCTCCTCCATTCCTCTAATTTTCACTGATGTTGACCCGATGCCAGGCATGTTGCCAAAAACTAGGAATGCAAAGATAAATTGAGACCCATTCCTGACCTCAGGGAACTTGCAGGAAAGAACACCAATCACAGGTGGTTGTGATTCAGTTAGCACGAGCGTGCTGATGGGCAGTAGAACCACAGGGGCTACAGATTAAAAGCCTGGAAGCCCACAGGAGCGCACTCACTCCACTGTGGGTAAGCTGGAGGGCTTCCCAGAAGCGGTGACATCAGGATCATGTAGGATAAATAGGAGTTGTCCAGACTGAAAAGCAGGGCTGTGTGGGTGGGGTGTGGACAGGTGACTGCAGAGGCAGGGATGCCAGGTGGCTTCCAGGAGTTGTGAGTTTCCATTTAGGAGCGCTGGGGCATGAATCTGCAGGTTGCAGCTACAGTCAGAGAAAATTATAATCCTCAGGCCAGCTCCCTGAGGATCCTGCCCCCTCACTTCACTCACTTTTTAGTGAAGTGAGCGACACTGGAGCTCAAGGGTGTGCCACCTGGGTGAGTCCAGCATGAACTGATACCTGCTCTTTCTAATCATCAGCAGCGTCATCTTCCAGGTAAGAGACCAAAGCCGGTGGGTCATGTTTATTCCCCTAAGACTCAGCCCCAAGCTGCTGAGAACCTCAGGGATCCCTGGACTTCTCTCTGGGAGCACCCATCAGTTTCCTCCCCTGCACAGCCTCGGCAAATGGAAAGCCTCTCTACCAAGATGGCTTCCAGGAGCTAGAGCAGAATTGAAAAGGCTGAAAGCCCCCAAATGTAGGGGTGGCCTTTCATTATGTATATTCCCCATCCTGACTGATGAGGCCCACACCTTTGTGGCCCCCTGCACCCCACTGGGCACTCCCCCTAACCTTCTCCCAGCCCCCTTGCATCCTGCATCTCCACAGGGCATGTCCTAACTGGCCAGCTCCCAGGGGAGTCCTCCCACACTCTTAGCACCCTCCACCACTTGGACTCTCTCCCTCCTATGCGATTTTCATTTTCCAACTCTCTGCAAACCTTGGAGGGGATGTCTATGCTAGTGGGGTCCTCTCGTCCCACCTACCTGGCATATAGGGCCGATGTGTGGCTGGCGTGGTAATTCTACCAAGGCAATAGTGACCAATGTTCACTCTGAAGTCACCACCCGCCAGGGCCTTGGCATACACCCACTCTACCTGTATTTACTAGTTATTCTTCATAACAAACCCTTGAAGTGTGCCCTATAAATGTTCTCTTTTCCAAGTAAAGAAACTGAGGCACCGGGTGTTTATACGAGTCACCCAAGCTGAGAGTTCAGGAGCAGGCTGCCTGCTCCTGAGTTCATCTTCTAAACCCCCAAGCTACACTGTCTTTCTATTGTGGGTTATTCTAACCCCCAATAAATTCCCTGCTGAAAGGTAACAAGGAATCAAGTTTGTTCATTAATTCACTGACGGATCACTCATTCAACGCGTTACTGAGCCCTGGCAGAGCCAGGCAAAGGGATGGGGCTCAGCCTCTGCCTTTGCTGAACCCACTGCCAGCTGCTCGGGGACAGGCCCACGAGATGCCAGTCCTTGCAGACTGATGACTCTGGGCACATTGACCTGGATGAAGCATCTTTTTCAGGAGGCTGATGTGGAGGTCTGAGGACAGTTCAGGCTGCCGACCCGCCTCAGGGCTCAAGGACAATCCTGGCCAGAGGCAGAGCCTTGAGCTATTTTGGGCTGCTGCCCTCCCCAGCAGTGTCAGGGTGCCTGCAGGAGGGGGCCAGACACTGCCAGACACTGAGCACAGCCAGGCACATCTTCACTCCCTCCCCCTGGAGACGGGGGGCGGGGTGGTGGAGTAGGGGGGTCTGCAGGGGGGCATCAGAGACCCCAAAATGGAATGGGCTCCAAGGGGAAAACATCTGCCAAAGCTCTACAGCATCTGGGGACTAGAAGGCTCTGAAGGGGCCCTTTGGGTGTCTAGGAAGGTGGCTGATGTCCTCCCGTTGAGTGACATCATCCCAGCAAAGTTCTGCAGGCCGGGGGAAGGCCCTGGGCCAGAGGGGAGAGCGGGTGCTGTGAGGGCTTCCAGGGAGGAGGCAGTCCTCTCTGTGCTCCTGCTCAGAGTTCCTGTCCCCAAAGGCCCCCTTTTGTGTTTTGCCTGAACTCCCCACCATTAGTATCTCCTTAAAAATAGCATCCCTCCCCCCAGCTCCTCCTTTCAAGTTTCGAAAGGGATTTGCTTGAGAGGCCTTCTTTTTCTGCCTGTCAGCGAGCTGAGAGTTGGGCCAGAAGTGGTCTGAATGGGTGATTTGAGAGACAGGAGGGGGGAGCAGCATCCACAGGGGGAAGCGGCAGGGGGATCAGCATCAGCAAGCAGAGGACCAGCATCCACAGTAGGGGGCAGGAGGTGGAGGGGCAGGCCCGGGGGCAGAACAGAGCAGGAACGCTCACACCTCCCCGTTCAGGACGATGCCTCTTGGAAGGGGCGCTGCCGAGTCTAGAGTGCCCCGTGGGTCTGCGGCTGTGTGACCTTGGGGAGGTCACCCACGTCCTTGGACACGCGACTCCTGGACACTCTTGGCTCTCAACGAGCACATTAGTTGAAAGACCCTCGAAGGGGCAAACCCCATTCTCAGTTGCCACAGACCCCACCCCACCCCACTACCCAAACAGGGAACGACCTCACCCTCCTCCCCCGCCCCTTTGGACGCATCAGCGGCGCTGTGTGGCCTCCCACAGGGCGCTGGCCAAGGCCACCCTGCCCGCAGGGGAGGGGCGGCCAGGGGTAGAGCTGACGAGGCAGCGAGGGCCGGGGCGTCAGAAAGGGGGAGACCCGGGAAGCGCAGTGACAGGGATTTGAGCTCCGATGGATTCAGGCCGCAGAGGTCACCACGGCCGCGCCCGCCTTTCCGCAGACTGAGGCCCGCGGGCAGGTCGCGGAGGGCCCAGGAGGCCCGCGGGGGGCGCCTCGGAGGCGCGCGCTGCGCGGCGGCCGGGCCGAGCCCCCGAGGGCGCCTGGCAGCTGCGGCCGCCCCTCCCCGGCCCGCGCTGGGTAATGAACAAACAGGCGCGGGGAGGGCACGCGACGGCTCGCCGGAGAAAGGATTTAATTAGCAACGCTTTCAGGGGAGAAAATTAAATTACTGGAGACAATGGTGCGCTCCGAGAGACGCGAACCCCCGAAGCCGGTTCCTCAGACTCCCCTGCGCGCGCCTGAGCCGCGTCTCCACAGCCCCGCGCCCCGCGCGCGCCCCCGGCTCCCGCCCGCGCCCGCGCCGCCGAAAGGGGGCGCCCCCGAGCCGCGCGCCCGGCTAGGCTGGCGCCCGCGTTCCTCAGGACGGCGGACAGGTTGCAGACTGATGACTGTGCGCACATTGTCAGTGCCCCCCCAAACCCGCCCGGGCCAACCCACCCCGGGACTGGAGGGGCTGCAGGGCTTCTTGCCTTGTGGAGCCACGAAGGGCTCAGGGGGCACAGGGGGAGGCCTGGGCCCCAGATTCTTGCTGCTGATAGTGTTCTGGAGACGGAGCTGCCTGGCAGAAAAGTGGAAAGAACAGCTTGGATCCTGGAGACGGGGTCAAGAATTGTGACCTTGTCTGCATCCTGGCGCCCCTCACGGGCCCGTGCAGCACCTCTGGGAGGGCCTTAGCACTCCAGGGCTCCCGCCCATCGCTGCTGCGGCCTCCTCAGGTGCCATCATGGCCTGCAGTTGGCCCCTTCTACCTCCTATTGCCAGAGTGTTTTTATTTGTGACAATAGTGACCCTACTCGAGCTCCTCCGAGATCCAGGCCACGTCCTGAATTCTTGCACTAGAGAAGTTTACTGACTGTGACCACAGGCCTGCAAGTGTGACCAGCCCAAAACCACAGAAGAGGAAACTGGAACCCAGACAGGTCAAGGAAGTGGCCCAGGACACACAGGTAAGTGACGACATACCACAACCACTGGCCCTGAGCTCTTCTCCAGCAGGGGAAGCATCTGGTTTTGACGCTGGGTGCATGGAGCCTCATATATGGGGGTGCTCAGTAAGGATTTGTTGAATGAATGGCAGGTATTTCCTTGGATGTTGGAAGGGTGCTAATAGCTGCGAGGTTGTGAGGATGAAATGAGAAGGTGTGTGTAAAACACCTGGCACCTCACTTGGAGGTGCTACTGTGAATATGTAATAAAAGTTGGTGCCAAAGCCTCTCAAACTTGACTCAGGGATCTGGTAACAGGGCAGGCCTATGCTGCTGCACTTCTAGCCCCTTCCCAGGGATGGCCATGCTGCTGACCACCCTTACTGCCCCTGTGCACCTAGCCCCTCCTTGCTCCCCATTCCAATCCCAGCCCCATGAAAGGGAGCCAATGCAGGGAGCCGATGCAGCAGTTCCCAGCCTTGTCTGCTCATCTGCAACAACCTGAGGAATTTTCAAAAGTACTGGTGGGTGTAGGGCCAGGGGAGGTCCCGCCTTCCAGAGACTCTGACAGAATTGGTCTGGGGTGTGGTCTGGGCGTGGGAATTTTAAAAGCTTACAGAGCTTCCGCTAAGCAGCAAGGCCAGAATGGCTGCAGTGGAAATACGTGAGAAGGGTGTCACGTGGGCAAGGAGGTTTGAAGAGGTTTGCCTGATACAGGTGTGGAAGATGGATCGTGTGGTGACCAGAGACTGAGCCACCAGGTAGGAGACTGGGCAGGTGTAAGATTAGGGATCCCGGTCGGGGGCTGACAATCAGCATTCCTGATTCCTCTGTGCTCCCCACCTCCTGGATGTACAGCGCTAAGGAGGGGTGAGGCCTGGATAGGCTGGGGAGTGTGTGCTTGCCAAGTACTCTGCAAGTGGACTAAGGAGGGGCTCTGTGCTGGGTGCAGCAGGGTGCGGAAGGCAGGCGGGGAGCTAGACTGATCTGCTGCTCACTGCCTGTAAGTAAAGTGAAAGGCTGACCTTGGACCCCGTCCAGTTCACCTTCTCCTAGAACGGCATGTTTCGCCTACAGTAGCAATCTCATGATTACGTTTACTGAACCCCATGGTGTGGTGGTGTGGACAAGGCTGTGCTGTCCTTGGCTGTACCAGACACGGTATGGCACGATCATCTTAGATAGTGACCCAGCAAATGAGGAAACAAGGCCCAGAAGGTTTATCTAACTTGCTACAGTCACACAGCGAGCAGACCCAGGCCCAAGCTGATATTTCTTCTCGCCACCAGGCCTGTACTCTGCTCTTTCCTTTGGCTGAACCACTGTCCCCTTTCCTCCCAGTTTAAGCTGCATGACCCACCAAGGCTGAGCTCCTCTCACCTTGCTGAGTTCTTTTCCAGGCCTTGGAGCAAGCCCACAGCTCTGGCTGGTCATTGGCCTTGAGCCACAAGACCTTGCGACTTTCCCTGTGACTCACACGTGGCTCGGTTGTGAGGGCTCCAAGGTCAGGCACACATGTGGCTGTTGTAGGCCCTGGGTTCAGTAAGTGTCAGTGCTGCCAGGGCCGGGATGAGGGTGAGGCCATAGAAGTGCAAAACCTGCGGTCTCACGCTTGGGGTGATGTGAAGGCTTGTGCTGGAGGCAGCCTGGGGAAGGCTGAGGATAGCAGATGCAGGTGCTGTGCAGGTGAGCTCAGAGGTCTGCAGATGAAACACTGAACAGGATCGCCCAACCGGGAGAACTCTCTTCCTATTGTGCTTGGGTGTCAAGAGGATCTTATTACCTAATTAATATACTGTGCCTATGTCAACACTTCCAACACTTCCATGCCTAACTTTCTCGGGCCCCTGTGGTTGGGGGGAACAAGAGGCAGCCCTGTCAGGGTGGCCCAAACTACACCAACATAGTCACTTACTAGCCAAGGGCCACAAGTATAACTGGGGCTCGGAAGATGTTTCCAGAATGAAGGCAACACATACTTCCAAATACATCTTGACTAGACAAGCATTGAGTTGGAGGCTTTAAGACTTGCAACTTAAAGTTGTCTCAGCCCCTCTCAGCAGGCCAGAGTCCTGGGTCATTATGGAAGTGCACTGTCAGACCAAGCCTGTATCTGCCTTGTCAGCCATGGGCATCCTGGGCTGTTTGTTTTTGGCCTCTGTATATTTTGCTTAAGTGAACGCTCATTTGCATTTCCTCGGCAGTGCCGTGACAAGCAGGAGAAGCTGGGAAGCCTGGCTGGAGAAGAGGCGAACCAAGCAAACGCGCTAGGAGGAGCTCCAGGCCTCCGGAACCAGGCCCCTGCATTTGCCAGACGCAGGGCAGGGCCTTCTGAGGTCTTTTATGTGTGGGTATCTTTAAGCTTCTCCTCCCTCCTTGACTTTGGGAGGACATCTGCAGGGGCATCCTCACGGCCTTACCACGGACAGGCAGTCCCAGGTCTTGGCTGCTCAGCCAGGACCCAGGAGCTACTGCGCTGTCAGTCCCAACAGAAGGGTGGGCTCCAGGTCAAGGACTCCCATCTGCCCACCCAGCCATCAGAGGTTTGTGAAAACTGAGGCTCTGGCCCTCCTCTGTTCTAGAGACATCTACCAGAATTATCAAGCACTGTTCCTCCAAAGCCACCGAGATTCCTGAGATGAAGTGAGTGTAGGGTAAATGGAAATCATCAGGGGTTTCCGCCCTCCCGCCATTAGCATCAACTGATCGACACCTGTGGTCTTGCACGCGTGCCTGACGCGGCACCTGGAGTATGGAGTGGGCGTGTGTCAGTGGGCACACCTGAGCTGAGAGACCGCCTATAAGGGCGGCAGCAGAGGACGGAGGCAGCGGAAAAGGCAGCGTGCGCTGGGGAGCGTCCGAGAACAGCTAAGAGAGGAAGGCGGATTTGCAGAGGGGCCCAAGCTGCTGTCTCCCTGCTGGCTTGTTTCCCCTAACCCGTGGGGATGATGCCAAGGGCTCCAAGGTTCCCTTTCAAGCTGCCTGAACTGATGATGAACGCGCCCGGCCCGGGACGGCTGCAGAACAGTGAGTTTTTACGAAAAGAAAGGAAGCTATTTTTACTTTTATGCTCTCAAGTCACTGTGGGGGCCTCGCGCTGCACACTAATGTTTGGCCCTGACAGGGGCCCTCACGCGGGCTGGCCTCGGGATCCCTCTTGCAGTTTCCATTCCCCTTCATTCTCTAACAGCTTCCGCCCACTTGCTGTGTTAACTTCATACTCCGCAGGCTTTTTTCTCTTTCTTGCTCATCTCTTCCAGCTGCTGTAATTTCAGGCAGGAACCATACAGGCCGTTCTTTCAAGCAATTTTCTAATGTATTGCATAACCACCCCTCATAAAAGAGAGCGAGCAGAAAGCATGCGTCCTAAACATGAGGAGGAATTGGGAGGCGAAACCAGGGTGGTGACAGGACCACCTGGCCTCCCAGAGCATCTCCTTCCAGGACACTAGTCAAAGGCTGGGTTCATATTTTCTCTCTTGCCATTCGTTGTACCTGAGGTGTGGGTAGGAGATAGTCTTAAGTATCCCAGGCGAAGGACAGCTCCACCGAGGGGGTCGCTTGGACGCCATCGCTGGGTTGGTGTGCAGGGGGCTGCCTTGCTCTGTGGAGCAATTTTACAACACTGCCGAGGGGCTGTCAGCTCAGTCAAGGGGACAACTAGGTTTACCCCCCTCCTCTTGACAACGGAAACAGAGCTAGTGGAGATAAAGGCTGCTTCCTGTTGCCTCTTTCTGCCCAGTGATTCGGATGGCACCATGCCAGCAACACACTGCTCTCATCTCTAATCTTATTCAGTGTGGCTGAAAGGTGACATCCAGAGAGCTGGGGCCAGACAGAGTCCTCACAAAGTAACACCACACCTTGTAGCCTGTGGCTGTTTACCTTAAAAATAATGTAAGTCAACCCACGAGGCTCCTAACACATGCAGAAACCTCCCTGGTTGTGGTGGTGGTGGGGCGTGGGGGGTATCTGGGAGGTAATGAAAGCCAACAGACATACTTCTTGAAATATAAAACCGGTTACCTCCTTCATCTCAGATGACAGGGAAGGACTGTTTGCAGATGAAGACTAGGAAAAGGTGTGACTTGATTTAACCCCCAGCTATTCTCCTTTTGGGGTAACTCTGAGAGCAGACTTTTATATGGGAACTAGTGAATCCATCTTAGCTGCAACCAGGTAATAATAGAAAGGCAAAACCAGTGCAGATGGCAAAATGCTTCATCCAGAGCCAGACACAGTAGGTTAAAAATCCCACTGGATGCTGTAACATAAAGCCATCTTACCAGAGCACCAGGAACCTGCTCTGTAGACACCCCAGGTTTAATTTTTTTTAATCTATTAATGTCATAGATGTAACATACTAGAGCTTACAAAAGGTCAGCTGGAAAGAACTGTAAAGAGAACCATTTCCAGTGCTTTACTATTCAGATGAAAGGCGGGGTTCCAAGGGGTTCTCCAAAGCCACCCAGTTAATAAGTCACAGATGTGACAGGTGCACGCAGGTCTTCAGACCCCATCGCACCAGACTACAGTCTGCAGCGATGCCATAAATAAGGTGGATTAAACACACTGTTTTGTTTGCAAAGAGGTGTCCAGGTGGACAGGTGCAGGAGCGTGCGAGGGCCCAGGCGCAGGCTGAAGTGGTGGCTCTTCTGAGCCTGCAGCACCCACTCAGGCGCACTCGTGTGCGCCTTCACCTTTCATTATGGAGGAACTGGTCTTTATTTCAGGAGAGGCCTTCTCTAGCCATTTACTCACTTTAAAATTTCAGTTTAGTGGACTTACAGCCATACGTTGAAAAAGTCAATTAGAAAATAGTGCAGGGCAGAAATAATGCTGTTGGGAATTAGATTATAGCAAACTTCCAGGCCTTTAAATGAGGAAAATTTTTTTCTTTGGTGTCTTACAATTGTGGGGATGGGTGTCTTAACTTGGGCTGGAGAGCTGGGAGGTCTCCATACATTTTAGGGTCAACACCTAAGAAGCCTGGGGAAAGGCTTGTTGATACACTTGCTAAGGACAACGTCTCTGTTGTGGAGAACTCAATGGGATGTTAGCTGATCCCAGCAGACAAATGCTACTCATGAAAATGTCAGATTAGATAGCAGAATCTCTGGATTACATTCTCCTGTCACTCCGCCCAGCTGCCCGATCTACACCTCCAAGACTCTAAGGGGCCCTGGACTGCTCATCTGCCTACAGTTCCCAAATGACACGCGCACATACATTTGAAATGTCAATCAATTCTTTACTCTAGACTTCACTTAGTATTTTTTGGAAGTTATAAAGTATAAAGGCCAAATAGTTTTCAAGTAAGTGACTTTTATTTTTCTGACATTTCACAGTCAATTTCTACAAAACTTCATACTTCCTCAAAAGAATTCACATTTGGTAAATAAATCTCTATCCTAAAGAATTCATAGCTGGAAAAACACTTCAATATATGCAAGAGAAGTACTTTCTGATGAAGGAACCAGAATAAAGTCAGACAATACTATAATCAATTAGAAGCAGTGGGAGGGTAATAAATCACACATGTCATTAAACTCCATTCCCATAACCAATTCAGTCAGCAGTTTTTTCTAGATGTTTCAATATTGCCAACAAAATCTGCCAAAAGTTCTCTAAAGGGATGGTTGGAGTTAAGAATGGCTTCTCACTTTCAGAAAACGGTAGCTTTGCCACCTCCTACTAGATCAAATCATGCACCGCTAAGACCGCTACTACTTACAGCCTGTGCAAGCCATGGAGCACTTCCTGATCAGCTCCGATGTTCGTCCACTTGCCGATCTGGCTTCCGGGCCCCAACGTCCGCTAGCCTGAGTGGATCTCTCCTTCCAAGATCTGGCTTCTAGACTTGGCTTCATCTGCTTATAGCTCCAGTGGGGAAAGAACACCCATGCTAACAGCTTAGAGACTTGCAGTGCTAAGTTACAAGATCAGAGATGAGTGGGGGGGTGGTACCACCTCTCCCTGCCACTCAGCAGTGAGGATCAGTGATGGCTTTCATCAGCTTTTCCTGTGGCAGGAAGGAAAAGGCAAACCTTCATCTAGGAAGAAGAGTCCAAGAGGCTGATAGCTCCACAGAGAGGTTTTCAGATGGAACACATTTGGTTCTCATCAAGTGTATTCTGATTCTGACACTCGGGGAGACTTATGATTGGTGCCCAGGCTGTTCTGAATGCACCTGTCTCTACAGCTTTGCTGCCAAACATATGCTCCCAAAAAGGAAGCTTCCTCGCATGATGCACAGAGTAGAGCTGCTGTAGAACCACAGCGATTCGGGGGGCCAAAGGAGTGTGCCAAGAGAAAAATAGTAAAAGAAGCTGAGTCTGCTTAAAGACATTTGCTCTGATTTTTGTAACTCTTTCAGAAAGCAAATGGCAAATAATAATTCTGCACTGATCAGGAGAATCTATAGCCTTCACCAAGTTGCTCATTTCTAAACCGGTCCTATCCAAATCAGGTCTGCTTGAGAACAAAGTACTGGCATATGAGCAAGACTCTGTCAAGACTCTAAACTTCTGGTCTTGGTAAGATTTCAAGAACATTTTCCTTGTAGGAAAGAGGAAGGCTGTCATACAGAACTTATTATGGTAACTTGGGCTAAGATTTTCAAGATGAGGAAATTGTTACGAGAGGATAAAAAGTCCGAAACTTTATTACTTAGAAATCTAAAGTTGACCTTCACAATGAAGAGGAGAGAATGGTCATCAGCTGGCGATTCTCATCATATCCTCCATTTCTAGATGAACTTCACACAGCCAACATTCTACAGCCCACCTCTGGCTTGGTAGCCAATAGCTAATACACAAAGAAACACAAAGACTGCCTCATAATCCTTCCACGTCACCATGACATGGGACAAATAAAAGTAAGAAGAATGTTATCCAATCTTTTGTGGACTCCTATGTCCTAACCTCAAGATAATTTTGATTCAAAGTTTATCAGGCTTAATTATCACTTCTTTCCTCTTTTATAAAATCAAGAATGAAAAAAGGCAGCAGAGGGCTGGGTAACTTACAATACTCTCTCAGAACCCTCAGAACCGTGAAGCTCTCTTTAAACTTTTCACACATAAAACAGGTCACACTGATTCCAAAGAAGAGAGGGGGGAAAAGTATAAATTACCAGAATCTTCCAGCTCCTGATGAAGAGATGCTGGCTGTGCCTACTTTCTTCAGACTCTATGTCAAGAAAGAATTATCAACTCTAATTTTAGGTGGTACTGAATCCATTCCATACTGTAACAATCTGAAGTATTTTGCTGACCAGTTTAAAGGGAATCTGGCATGTGGCTGAAGTGTAAGAGCTAATGGTACTACATTTACCTCTTGACTTTCAAGTTTAAGGAAACAAAGCTTTTTAAGTGACTAAGTGCTTGTTTGCTGCACCCAACCTGTGCCCGGAGCACGTCAGCTTCGCCCAAATGGCAGATTCTTATGAAAGGCTCACACCTCCTCTTAATTTTCTCTGTGATTAAGACGTTCTAGGGATCATTATGTCACCTACTCCCTGGCTTGACAGGTGTCACTCTGTGCTCTTATCCACATCACTGCACCTGTGATCACACGCTGAGTGGGACAGTGGGAGGTGACAGCTGTAAGAGCCCCACACAGTCACCTCTCCTGCTCTGCCCCGTGACCCACTCAGTGCCTGTAGGCTAAGGAGAAGGGACTCAGGGACACTCTGAATCTGAGGTCCTCTATGGAGTGGAGACATGTAGACCGTGCAAAGACCATAGGTTAAGACAGTAGCCAGGTACTTCATAAATGGCTTCATAAGTGAGCTGCTGAACAATTTAAGTTAGGGAGGAAAAGCTCTGACATAAGCTTTGGGAAATAGGAGTAAGATAACAGCAAATAAAAGAGTTAAAAAGAACCACTCAAGTAATAGGAAAATATGCCTTCTGTGTTATATGTCTGGGTGATCCGAGAATGCTTCCAGGTCACTGCCTGTATGACTAGAACCAGGTGTTAAAGATGCCTGCAGCTTGGCCCAAGCCTGGGGAGCCCTGCTCTTGGCAGCCTCTAGAAACAGCTGGGTCTGCTCCTTGAGCTGGTCTAGTTCTACCTGAGTCGCCTGATTCTGACGAATCAACTCCTTGGTTTTCAAAGTGATCTCCAGCAAACCGGATTTGTGAAGGACGACAAGGGTATTCTGGAAGCGCCTGTGTTTGTTCTGCCGCTGCTCTGAAAAGATACCAGGGCTGCGGCAGAGGTGCTCAGCGGCCCACAGAGGTGAGCTATAATTAGCGGAAAGGGGTGAAAGCGGGGAATTGCTCTCTAATCCGTGCAGAGTACTGTCTGATGCGCAGACAGGACTGGCAGGAGAAGCAAAGGTCAAGCTGGGAGCTTTAGCCACGTGGCTGCTAGAGACCGGCTGAAGAGTCTGTGGACTTCCACCTGCCACCAGGGAGGGCACCCCCTGCAGAGCGGAGTCCTCAGCAAGCTTGGCGCTGGGGGGGGCTGGAGTTGGGGGACTGGATGGCACAGCACCCGTCTTGGTTGGCTCACTGGAAGACAAGCTCGGCCCGAGTCTCTCAGTGCAGATTTTCTTCTGCATTACACTTTCTCCTCTTTCTCCTGGGCCAAGGGAAAGGCCCCTTTTGCCTGGGTGTGGAGCGATTTTGGTGTAAGAATTTAGAATGGGCAAGTAGTTCCTGGAGTCCGACTTTTTCTCGCCAGTGTGACACGGGCTGACAGGAGATGGCACCGGCGGGTGAAGGAAGAGAAGCTGTGGCTGTGCTGAGATCACTTCAAAGGAGGGCTGGACCGTCCACGATTGGAGCTGCGAGGAGCTGCTGCCCTGAAAAGGGAAGAAAAGAGCAGCATACCCCTCGTTACCTGCTCAAAGGTCAGGTGCTCGAAGCTCTGTCTCATGGGCAAAGCAGATGCTCAGATATTTATGACGATTTCAAGTATGGAGTTTCCTTCATATAAAGGGTCTTCCCTTTCAAGAATATGATTGGAGACGCAGCTTAACCATCCATTAGAGGCTGAAACCACAATTTGTTTTTTAGGGGTTTGTTTTTTTTTTTTTTTCACTTTTCCTAAGGAAAACTAAGCTAGAGGAAGTATCTTTTATTATTCAAATGCCGTCATTCAGAAAAAGAAATCATAGGTAGGTGAAGTAATGATATGGTCACAAATGAGGCAAGGAAAATACAATTTTGTGGCTTACATTAAAAATGTGCTAATCTCAAGATTAGTGCACATCTATTGATGGGACTTTACACTGAAGGCTATCTTCATTTAGTTCATCTGGAACCTCGTTTATTCGAAGATAACTTTTGATTTAAAAGTTACACTGTCAGAAGTCCTTGGGCCTGTTCTTAAGGCAGTAACATGCAGCAACCAGAAAACTACGCAGATAAGAATAGCTGCCATATATTGGTACTTACTACATACGAGCACTGTGCGTGCAGTTTCACACGGGTTGTCTCATTCATGTTCCTAGCTACCTTGTGATGTAATTATCATTTCCCTTCATACATAGGAAGCTGAGGCTCAGAGAGGGGCAACAACCCGCTCTACGTCACCAAGCTACTAAGTGACACAGCTAGGAACCCATCCCCTGACTGACTCAAACTCATCCTAATCATTCTGCTTTACTGCTTTTGTTGTATCACTCCTCAATCAGGCATCTTCATTTTCAATGAAAGCACTGACTCAGATGGAAGTTGGAATAAGAAGGGTATGGCTAGCTTGTCTCCAATATTTAAACACCAGTCTACTTGCAACCTGGTTCCAAAGATATGCATATAGATGAGTGGGGGCAGAACCTGACAAGGACCCTCTCCTGGGTGGAGGGACCTGAGCGCTGCGGAGGGAGCTATCTTCACACTGTTTTGCACTCATTTCAACTTCCCGGATGCCTGACTAGGAACTTTAGGTCAATGATAGTGCATTCCCTGTGCAAAGGCTGGGGTGACCTGGAGAGTCCCTGCGCAAACCCTCTTGTGTGCAAATACACTCCAGGATGCAGGTAAGCAAGCAATGGTAGGCCCAGAAACCACACTTCCTGGTCAGAGGAGATCCACAACCAGGGTCATCCCAACCTAGCTCAGTGAGAAGCAAAACTTCAGGCTGTCCCCCAAATCATTCATGCCCTAAGGGTTAACCTACAAGGCAAAGAGATGCAGAAAAAAACCTAATTCATTGCTCTCCCAAGGTGATTTCACCGGATTGTGCTTCCTCATGCTGTGTTATGCCTACCTCCCTAATAGATACAGAGCTTATGTGTTCCAGTTATTAGATTTTACAATGTATTATTCATGTCGAACTCATCTGAGGGAACAAGATTTTAGACTTGAATAGGATCTAACATAACACATAACACTTCATGTTAAAGATGAGGAAATGAAAGTTCATGGTGGTTAAGTAATTATGTGCAAAATCACATAACCCAGTGGCAGAACTGGATTCAGCCATTCAAAAGAAAAACACCTTAAACCAAGCAACAATAATCAAGACATTATACAATTTGCAAATATTTTAAAAAGTCTATTAGATTGTGTTGTATTCTAGCATGCTTGAAAAAACAATACTCCTAGAAAAAGGAACCCTCATCTACTACTGTTGGGAATGTAGAATGGTCCAGGCCCTGTGGAAAGCAGCATGGAGGTTTCTCAGAACATTAAAAATAGACCTACATGTGATTCAGACACCAATTCTACTCTTAGGTATCTACTCAAAGCATGCAAAATAACAGTCATTTGAAGGCAAGTAAGTACTCCTATGTTCAATGCAGCACTATTTACAATAGGCAAGTTATGGAAAGAATTCAGGTACTTAACAGCAGATGAGTGGATTAGAAAAATGTGGTATCCACACACAGCAGAATATTACTCAGCTATAAAAAGACGAGCTCTTTCCATTTGCAACAACATGGGTGGGACTGGAGGGGACAATGTTAAGTGAAATAAGCGAGAAGGCAAAAGACATACGTGGAATATAAAGAAACAAAGCAAAGGATCACACAAAACTAAACCAGTAATAACAAACAAATCTGACTGTGGAATTGAGGCTACAAGATGGAGAGGAGAAGGAGGGAAGACGAAATGGGGAGGGGACACAATGGACTACAGTGGAGGGCTCTGGTGCCTTGGCGGTGGGGGTGCTGTGGGGACACGCTTCCGGGCGGATGTGATCCTATGCGTCTGAATCACATAGCATGTTGTAAACTAATGTTACCTCAATTAATTAAAAAAACCCTAGACTACTCCATTAGGTCAGCCTGCCCCCAAGCCTCCTATTTCCTGACCAAGCGCAGCAGCCTCTGGCGGGCTCTCATGAAGAATGTGGCTCTGCTGGAAAAGGCTACTCACTCCACAACTGTGGGCTGTTCTCAGCCCTCTGGAGCTGCCAGCCTCGCCTACCACAGAGAAGGCGAATAAACAGTCACAGGAAAGAGTGACAAGAGATTCAGAGATTCAGAATGGAGGAAAAAGAGCCAGGCAGAAGGAAGCCCTGAGACGCATGGCGGCACAGGTGGGGCCTGGATGATCTCATTTGGGCTGCATTTCATGTCTTTATTCTCTCTCTTCCTTTCCACAGGAGAGCTATGTTTCCAGCTGAGATGTGATTTGCCAAGCAAAAAACTTCAAATTCTTTCCCCAAACTCACCAGACTGCCTTGCTGAAAATCAGTTTGTGTTCCTCAGAAATAACTAGGGAATAGTTAAGATGTGCCGATTCCTGTCAGCCATGTTCTACCTAAGGTAGGAAGGTCAACAACAAAAGGTCAGATTTCAGCTTTCACTGTCTTCAAGCAACCTCATCAACGGACCACTTTGAGAACTGATCTATTTCAACAGCACAAAGTACAGTAAGGTTAAATGTTCTCTGGCTTCTAGCAATCATTTCAAATCCTTAGACTTCGCTATTCTATCCTACACCCAGATCATATGATTGAATTCTGTTTCAAACATGAGGGCTAAGCTCAGATTCTCATTGAAATCTTTCATATCTAGACAATAGTCACATAATATGCATAGTTATGTGAAGAAGCCTGAAATGGCATTTTCTAACTCCTCGGCAATGCTGCGTGGACTATGCTGCTACAGCTTCACCTAAACCAGTGACAAGGTGCTGGCTGATTACTAAGAAAATGCTCAGAATGTGACAAGATACATGGAAACTGCCTCTAACTTCTCAAACAAATGAATGCCTCCTCAGTATCTAAATTCCCAGGGCAATTCAGATGAAACAGATTTTTTTGTTTCTACCATATATTATATATTAAAATGTACTTCTGAAGTAAAAACATCCCTGCTTGGTTCCTTCATACACGATGCAAGTATTTTGAGGTCCCTTTGAATATTATACAAGGGGTACAGGCATAAAACAGTCATACTGTCTGGAAAATGAAAACACATGACATGCTTCTTATATTCCTTTGTGAAGCATGGTCAAGAGGTAGAAAGAAATGCCCTCTCCCCATGACAGAAGCTTACATGGCGTGGTTCTAGCAGTCTGCTTCTAAATCTCTCCTTGGCCGAGAGGAAGAGGCTCTGTACACAGGAAGTTCAGAAACTTTAATTTGCAAAGACGTTAAGAGACACTGGCCCTCCTCACCTGTTTGACCAGCACATTCTTCATGACGACCATGGGGGACAGTGTGGGGAAGACATTGCTCGCAGGCTTGGAGTTCTGCCTTGGCCTGTCTTCTCGGCTCCAGCCTAAGGCACTCAGCATGTCCTCGGACTCCATCTGCTCTGCTGAGCTCAGACATTCTGAGCTCCCATCTGGTGGGCAGAAAAATGGTCAGTCATATGCATTCCAGGCTAGGGGTCCTAAGCTAGGAAACCATGGACCGCCTGAAATTGAATGACACATTTGTGTTATATGTTTTTGTGAATTCTTCTGAAGAGATCTTTAACTTTCATTGGATTCTCAATGGAGTCTACAGTTACCCTCTCACCCCCAAAACATTAAGAATCACTGCCCTAGGGCAGCAGATTTCCTTCTTATCTCTCATTCAGACAAATGCCTATGTCAATTAGGGTTCATGTAAAAGTAACATCACCAGTCTACAGGAAAATGGGTTGAACCTTCAAAGGTAGTTCATTACTTTGAAGAATGTGTTGTAGAGAGGCAAGGGGAGTGTGTGTGTGACCTGGGTGAGGATTAAATCTTTAAAGGATCTGGGCACAACAAGATATAATAAAGACAAAACCAACCTCAAAACTTATATCCATGATGAATTTATAATAGCTTCTAAATTTTCTAATCTGTAAAATTCAGGATATGTTGTTCAAAGCTGAAGTTTAAACTATGTCTTTATTATCCATCCATGCCCCCTCTGCTGGTGTCCTAAATGCATGCCGGAGTGCCTACTGAGGCTCCTGTACAGTGGGTGATAGGATGATAAGAAGATACGCCCCAAGGCAAAGAGAATAAACTTGCTCCATGTGAAATCCATACAAAAAGGACCTAATTAGCTATCTGCTGGAGGTAAACCAAGAAACTGCTATAACCCTGCTATTGAGGAATCTAGGAATACCCTAAATGCTCATCAAGACTCTCAGAGTAAAATGGATGAGACAGGACTGGAATGTGACTATAATTTAAATGCGTGTAACTGCCAACACTTGCATTTAATCAGAATCTCCAGTGACACTTTTTAGGAATTATGAATTTGGGGTCATCCAAATTCAGTCTACTGAATTGATTTATCTGGTGCCCAGCAGGTATATTTTCACACAGTACCAAAAGGAATTCAACTATGTACCCCTACTTAAGAACCATTAGGCCAGGGCCTCCCCGGTGGCGCAGCAGTTGAGCGCTGGGTTGCGAGGCTGGCCGCAGCCTCTGCAGCGCTGGTTCCATCCCCAGCTGCTCCCCGGCCACCGGAGGAGGGTCCCACATGGCGCGCAGACCTCCCCTGCCGCCCGCTGCTCCCCTCAGCGGTGTACTTCGGTCCCTCTGCCTGCTCTGCTCCCCGCTCTGACTCTGGTGGGTTCTCTCACCCTCCTGCGCTTCTGACTGTACCCCGTGCTTGTATAAAATAAATAAATAAAATAAATCCTTAAAAAAAAAAAGTGCATCAGATTAAAAAAAAAAAAAAAAGAACCATTAGGCCAGAAACAAAGGACTCAGAAGCAAACTGAATACCTGATGCCTGGATATTGGCTTCTAGATGGCATTCTGTACAAAAAGGAAGCCAGGACTCCTTGGAGACACTGCTGATCCAAGTCTCTGGCAGGGAAGGTACAAGATGAGCCTGAATACCTTACTGCCCCAGAAAGCAGGAAGTGCTCAAATACAAATGTCGGAAAGAGACAGGAGTGATGTAGAAGGGACTCCCGGTGGCCAAACTGCCCCAGTCGGACAATTTGAGTATCAGAAAGAATCATGAGGATGGACTGACAAACTAAATTACAAAGGAATTCCACAAATCCACAGTGATACTCCAAAATGGGGGTGGAGGAAAGTGCTTCTGTATAGAAGAATGCCAGCTAAAATAGGTACAAGGAATGATGAGATCTGATCACCATTTTTAACCCATGAAGGCAGTGACTGATTCAGGCAAATCTCATCAATAGATGCTAAAATCACTATCAAGAGTTTGTTAAAAAAAACAGGATAGGCACACAATCTTAAAGCATCATCCCACAAATTGCTTATTAATTACCAAAAAAACCTCTTTTACAATAGAGAAATCTGGAACTTGCATACCAATTTAACCAAGTAATCAACTGGGGTGGGGGAGGGGGGCAGTCACTAAGAAAAAGACAATCTTAGGCGTCTCTTTATACGTTGTAGTAAGAGGGCTATAGCATCAAAAATGTAAAAAAGCATTTATCCCGATTCTAATCATGGGAAAACTACCAGAAAAATCTAGTATGGGACAAGCTATAAGACAACAAACCTAACTATGTCAGTGTTACAAAAAAAGAGGAAAAAAAGGATGATTGAGTTTTCCTGGACTAAATCAGACTAAATAGGCAGGACAGCTAAATGAAATGCACAGTTCTCTTGGGATTCTGGATCCAAAACAAACACACAGAAAGACTAAGTGCTATAGACACTATTGGAACAGAGGGGCAAACCCCCGACTGTAGCTAATTACTAATTCTATCAATGTTAAATTCCTTGTGTATGGTAATAACACTAATTATGTAGAAGAATGCTACTGTTTCAGGAGATTCAGACTGAAGTCTTCAGGGGTGAAACGGCAAGTGTGTGGACAGAGAAAAAAAGCAAATATGGCAAAATGATATCACTCAGTGGATCTAAAAGAGAGAGAGAGAGCACTACAGTACTCACTTTTGTGTAGATTTAAAAAATTTCAAAATATCAAGATGGGAAAATAATTAAAATGGAGAAAACTACTTTGGTTTTATAGATTCCAGCACACACGAAAGTGACTGGAATGCTAACTCAGGCAGTGACAAAACCACTGGCGCCTGGCCCAGCCCAGAAGTGGCTGGAGGCGTTCGTTGCAGCCACCTTCTTGGGACAAGGAGCCTGATTATTTTTAATATGACCTTGTGTCTGGACAGCACAGTACCTCTTACAGTAGTTCTGCACAGAGAATAAGGAAACTATCAAAAAAAATATCTGCACTCTGGGACATACTGCAGAACCATGGGCTTGACAGAGCGAAAGCTGCTGGAAGAAGCACCAGGCTGTCTAGTGTTGGGGATACCAAGTGGCAGGATGACGGAGAGGGGCTGTTTTCTTCTCTGCATGTGCCCCGATTTCTAACTTTCCACAATAAGCATGTATTACCTTCATGACATGAAAAACAGACAAAAAATAAACATGATTTTAAAAGAAAAAAGGGGCCTCCCTGGTGGCATAGGAATTAAAGTCTCAGCGCTATCAAACTATTGCCAGCCACTGCGGCATGAGTTTGATCCCCAGCCAGGGAGCTGACCCGCCTGGCGCAGCAGACCTCTCCTGTCTCACCCGCTTCTCCTCTCAGCAGTGGATTTCAGCCAATATGCCTGTTCTGCTTCCCACTCTGTTTCTGGTGAGTCCTATCATCCTTGGCACCCCTGACCTGCACCCCAGTTCTTGTATGCGTAAATAAAAACAAATCTTTTAAAAAAATAAGAAAAAGAAAAAAGGAGAGTCTAGGCCTGTAACATTTCCCAAACCTGCCTGAGCACCAAATTACCTGATAGTTGTAAAGAAATAAATAAAACCCATATTCCAGGCCCTCACCCAGACCCCTGATATCACCACTTCCAGGAGCAAGGTCTGGTGGTCTGTAAATTTAACAAATACCTCAGATGAGGCAAGTTGGGGAAACAACGAGAAGAGACAGAAGAAAGAACCCCGTGGGCTGAAGGTGGCCCTCCACTGCCTGGACTGCCCGTACTCTAATAATCCCTCGGCCGCCAGTGCTCTGCTCCTCTCTGAGTAACAAGCTATTTATAATCCAGCTTCTCATCAGCATGACCAGGGAGAAAATACGCCAACCTAAGGGTGAGAGGGTCTAGTTTTTCTAACAGCTGCATTTCTCTCTGTAGATGAGGATGGACTGATTAGTCTCTGTGAGGCTGGATAATGTAAATTTTCCTCCAGGAGAGGGCCCTCCTCTTTAGGATGCGAACCCAGCCAGAGTCCCCTGACATCATCCCCCAGAGTCTCCTGGGTCAAAAATGTTGACACCAGAGCTGTAGACCTAGAAATAAAAGAGGGCCTCAGCATCACATTACAAGACATTGGTTATTCAGCTAGTCTTTTCAGGTTGGGTTTAAGCAGGGAGGGAAGTATAAAAACTGCTCTTCCTTTTAAACACAGCAAAATTACTTTCTTAGCAAAAAAGGTAAATTATATAGCACTCTTGTTTGTGACATGGTGACAACATGCAGTAGAATATTTTTTGTGCAGTGTAACTATTCCTATGAAAAAAGAGCTAAGACAACAGAACTAAGAATATCTAGATTTTTTTCCCCCAGTAACCAATTGCAATAGTTGGAACTGTAAGATTTAAAGTTGAGAGGCTGAACTAAAAAAGGGCGAAATCGTTTCTTCAGAACCAACCCCACTATTCTGGTGGGTACCTGCCATGAGGCATCAGAATAACCATTTTAAGAAATGAGAAAGCTATTTTTCTTGCATGTGACACTTCCGATTGTCAGGGAGGACTTTGTTTTCTGGGAAAATCATTCATTACAAAGTAGAAAGGATAAGGTATTTTTAACCTGAAAATCCAGAGTCCTTATCTGACTCAGCAGCTGCCAAGCCGAGTTGCCGAGCGACTTTCTTCATTTCTGTGCCTTTGCCTACTTTGGCTGAGAGTCTTCTGGGGCTCTCTCTGGGTGGGTTTTTCCTCTCCATGACTTACTGGGCTGGAAGAAGATGCATCAATACTCTTTTCATCGGGCTTGCCCTGTGAGAAACAATTACATTAGAGGTCACTGCCTGCAGAGCTAAAACAGCTCTTGTGTGGCGAGTACAGTAAGGGAGGAACACTGGGCTGGCCCACTGGCGCTGTGTGTTCTGAGGTCTCAACTGACAAAGGCTTCAAGTTTACCAAACGCAGAATGGTTTCCACCCAAAAGGAGGTTCACAGGCCTCTAACTCCATTACAAATTCAAGGCACACAAACCACATTCAGAGGAAGCTTTGTAAACTGCTAACAAAGGCACATTTGATTAGGGTTTCTGGAAGGGGTAACTCGCCCTGCTCGCTGAGAGAGGAGCGGAGGCAATGCCCACCCACGGACAAGCCTGCTCGCCCAGCTCCGCTTGCAGCTCATGGCTTACTGCCACCCCCCAGAGTGTAGTTTCTCAAATCAACCTTTCACTTCTTCGGATAAAGTACTGAACAGAGTAAAAGCAATTCCTTACAGGTACACACTACTTTTTGACTTTTCAATAGCACTTTAATAAGCTTGCATACAATAGTTTTGATTTTATAAAAACCTGTCACATCATTGTCCATCTCACTTTAGCCTCACAAGGTCCTCCTCAGTTGCTATCCCTTTGGACAGAGGAAGAAGTTGAGGCTCAGTTAAAAATATTTACCAAGTGCCCACTATGAACTAGGCATTGTGCCAGACCGGGGACACAGAGCCAGCAGAACAGACAAGAAGAGTAGGGACAAGAAGAGAGACAAACATCCGTCAAGTAATCACACAATTTATTAATTGCTGTTTAGATAACAGCTATAAGAGGAGGGGCTGATAGTCTGGGGAAACCAAGGAAGGGAAGGTTTTCCAGAGGAAGTGATATGCGGATGGGATCTGGAGGATGATGTAGTAGAGTTAGCAAGGGAAGGGGGGGGGCAGAGTAGGGTGGGATGAAGGCCCTCAGGGAGCAAGGAGCTTGACACACAACAGCTGAAAGGCCAGGGAGGCTGGAGCACAGTGCAGTGGAGTAGCAGGCCATGCTCTGATGCCAGAGGGGTAGGTGGGAGCCAGAGAGCAATGCCTTGAAACTCATGTAAAGACTGTTTAGAGCAGCAGGAAGCAGAGTCTCCTTGGTGGCTTAGGGGTTAAGTCTCAGCCCTATCACTTCTACAGCCTGAGTTCAATCCCTGGCCAGGTACTGATCCACATGGCACAGCAGACCTCTCCTGTCTCGCCCACTGCTCCCCTCAGCAGTGTATTTCAGTAAATCTGCCTGTTCTGCTCCCCACTTTGTCGCTGGTGAATCCTCTCAACCCCTGAAACCCCTGGCCTACACCCTAGTTCCTCTACACAAAAATAAAAAAAATAAAAAAAAAAAAAAAAAAAAAAAAAAGAGCCGTGGGAAGCCATAGAAGGATTTTTAACCAGGACAGTACGTGATCAGACCCACAAAGCATTTTGGATACTGGACTGAGGTGAAAGTGGAAGAGGAGAGCGAGGCACTGAGACAAGTGCATGCCAGCAGAGCAGTCCAGGTGACGTAAGTGGTGGCAGTAGAGAGGGAATGATAGGAACAGATTAGAGACAAATTTAGGAGACTGGCTGGTTGGGGCTTGGTGATTGTATGTTGGGGGGGCCAGATGATGATACCACGTTCTAAGCTAGAGGGCGTAAGAGGAGCACAGGCGGAATTGGGTGGGGTGACTAGGCTAGTGGAGTTTGGAGACCAAAGCCACCACGGGTCATCTGAGCAGAGATGTTGGGTATACTGTCACACGTACAATCAGGACTCCAAGCGAGGAGCCAAGATTTGCCCAATGACATAGAGTCTGTAGCAGATCTAGTGCAAAGAATGAGACAACTCAACCCTTCCAAGGGCTAGAAGAGGCGGAGGACACTCCAGATATTTTAACAAGGCCATTTGAGTCAGCAAAGAATGGCAGTTAGAAGGGTAGCTTGACTATAACACAAAGGACACTGCGGGGACAAAGGGAACAGGGAAAAAAGCAGTAATGCAACTGGGTGGGTATTATTGTCTGAATGTGTCTCTCCCAAATTCACATACTGAAATCCTAACCCCCAAAGAAAATTAGGAGGATGGAGCCCTCATGAAAGAGGTTAATGCCTTATAAAAGGGTCTCCCAGAGAGCTCGCTAGCCCCTTCTACCACGTGAGGATACAGCAAGACGTCTGTGACTTGGAAGAGGTCCCTTACCAGACGATGCTGGCAACCTGATCTTGGCTTCCAACCACAGAATGGTGTTTCTGTGGTTTATAAGCGACCCCGGTCTGTGGTATTTTGTTACAGTGGATGTAAGCAAAGCCTGGTGATGTTTTCATTCATAAGCCACTCTTGACTCCCTCCATTTTCCCTGAGTGGAGAGAACTGTATTTGGGATACCCCACTCAATGCCAAGTCTGAACATTTCTGCTGATACAGGCCCTAGTGAAGATCACTAGCTACTCAAGAAGCAGAAGAGGAGTCCAGATGAAATAGAAGACAGGGATGGGTGAGCGTCCCTGAGTAACCCGCTTGCTCATACTTTTCCCTACAGCAGAAAAAGGCTAAAGGGAGCACACTGATCTGAATAGCGTGCATTTTATTTTTATTTTTTAAAGATTTATTTATTTATACAAGCACTGGGTACAGTCAGAAGCATGGGAGGGTGAGAGAATTCACCAGAGCCAGAGTGGGGAACAGAACAGGCAGACTGACGAAATACACTGCTGGGGGGAGCAGCGGGCGTGGCAAGAGAGGTCTGTGCGCCATGTGGGACCCTCGCTGGTGGCCAGCGATCAAACTGGCGCCGCAGAGGCAGCGCGCAGCTTTGCAGCCCAGCGGGATCAACCGCTGCTCCACCAGGGGAGGCCCTGAGCCTGCATTTTAAACACAATTCCAAGTCAAATTATTTTGCACTCAATTTAACTCATGTAAGGGGACTGACTTCTCCATTTGAGTCATGTCAAACCGAACACTCTTTGATAGGTCATCTTTAGCATGAGGTGCATAACAGATAATGGCACTGCCACGTCTTGCTTAGCATTAGGCGACAGCAGCGTCTCTTTTATTGGTTGGCTATGGAATTTGACAGCATGGACAATCCAGTTTAAAATGCAGAATAAAATGTAAAACTATCTCTCTAATTAAATCAGGATCCTTTTGTATGAAGTCCAACAATTGTGCATAGTTTCATCTCCTTGAAATAATGCTGGATCTCAGCGAACAGGAGGTTTCTTCAAAATGGAAGGGGACGTAGCTTGTAGATGGGCAATCACACTTACTCCAATCTAACCCCACTATTGCTTTAGATGAGGAAGGTTGTTCATGTTAGTTGCAACTAATTAAAGAACTTGACAGCTTTACATAATCTTATTAAACGTGGACTATTTTGTAGCTCTTTTAGATAAAACGCCCCCCTCTAGTCTTCTGCAATCCTTGTGACAAGTCTATAAGGAAGGTCTTGCTACTATAGTTAAAATGTAGTCAATGGAGCTACAGAAGGCACACAGGAATACACTCTGGCTCAGAATGTGCAGGACAATAGTGAGTGCAGGATCAAAACATTGAAATGCTGACAAATTGGATAAAAAAGGAGAACAGATGCGAACATGGGAGGTCCTAGGGAATTGGCAGCGGTTTGAAATGCAGAACGCATGATGTACTAAATTGTCTACTTTGGATATGAAAGTGACTAAAAATATGAAATCCTCTGTCCCAAGTAAAGTTCTCTCTAAACAGGAGGAAGCCTCAGTCTGTGTCCCAGGGAGGTTCAAGTGCCATGGAGAATGAGGGACTACATCCGCCTTAACCACTCTTGCTGAGAGGAGAGGCACTCCCCCACCCAGAAGGGGGCGTTAAGGGAGTCAACTAGTGGTGAACCGTCCCACCCACTCATACTCAGCACCACTGAGACCCTCCATGGACAGCAGCAGCTGTTGTGATGGCAATTACTACCTGTGCTCTCACACCCAGTCTGAAAACCTGAAGATGTTTTTCCTCAGTTTTACTTTACAATAAAGTTAGATGCTGAACTGATTAGGGTTTGAAAATGGGTCACTCAGCCCTCACCTTTGTTTCCTGGCACAGACTGAAAACCACTAACACTACTTTGCAAACATTTCTGATCCTCAGGTGCCGAACTCAGCGTTAGAAGGAGTCTAACTTAAGCTCTCCAAACTGTCAGAATGGGCCCTGACCTGGGCTTCTTAGAAGTGTGTATGTAACACACTGTGCAAAAGGTTCTCAGAGAGAGGACACACTCTACACCGAGCAGAAAGTGACGCAACCCATACTGAAGGCTACTGAGGTAGGGATAAAATTCTAACAAGTGTTCCACAGCACTTTGTTCGACTTTTGCACTTTGCATGTGAGAGTCTAATTACTTGCTTATTCCTCTACCTCAAGGGTTAGTTTTGCATCTTTGCAACATCAGTCCCCAATAATTAATATGTCAGGTACTCCACAGGATAATAAATTCCAACAAGTCTGTTGGCCTGCTGAGTCTTGCTGACAGCCCAAGCAGCTTAGCTGTCACCAAAACACCTGAATAGCTTGAAGGTCAAGACTCTGCATTTCCAAACACCATGGTCACCTCCAGATCTAATTTCCAGCTCTGGTCTCCTACAGGAAACAGCTCATCTACACCTTATTCTAAAATGAAACCTCAAGGATAAATACACTAACCAAATTAAAGGCTGTTGTAATCTACACATAACCTCTTTGGAGATTTAGGTTTATGATAAAAAGGAGACACAGGGTTTACAAGGAAAGGTTGTGAAATGCTGCTCTCAGATCTCTTTTTATAGATACTTGGCAACTTTCCCGAGAGCTCAAGTTCCCTTTAAAAGGTGTCACGTGTATAACATGCGTGCATGGACAAAGGTGTGAGGTGAGCGCCCAGGCAGATGCTTAAGCACAGTAAGGCAACAAGGCCATACATAGCAAAGGAAGACCTTACCACCTCCAAACCATGAGTAAACCTACTTAGAATTATAATACTAGGTTTTCTCTGAAGTCATTTTCCCTCGATCTGCATATTTGGAGTTATCATTCCGGAGGAATGTCTGTGTATTTTAACAGAGGACAAAAAACCTCCATCTACCTAAATCTCCAATAGTCACCTTCCCTTCACACCCTTCATTCTCCAACTTGTCCGCCAATTCATGTCAAGGATCCTGAACTCTGATTTAATAGTGTCCTCTCTCTGAAACCAAGCGGGGCTCACTCCATTCCCCTTGTTCAAAGAGTTAGGTAAGGTTAGAAAACTTCCTCAAATCCCCTGCTTTGAGAAAGGGTTCACAGTAACAGTGCCCACCTCCCCATTCGCACCAGCCCACGCTGCATCTGTGCCAGACAGCAGGAGCACCCTCCAGGCATCCACCAGCCTGCCAGCTCAGCAGGGCAGAACTGGGCAGACCCTAGGACAGTGCTGTGACTGGCATACCACCAGCCTCCCAGGGCAAACGCCCAGTCGATGCCAGCTGCCAGGACTTGGGCAACGGCAGGGAGGCTGGCTTTGTGGCCTGTGCCCTGGATCAGAGCTTCCCCTAAACTCATCCACTAACTCCTCACTTGGCAGTGCCCACCTTCTCCCCCACCTTCCCACCCCTTGGCACCAGGCCTGGCAAGGCGGCCACAAAGGTGAAATAACCAGCAAAGTGGGTGACAACAGATATCTGGAAGACAACACACCTGTGCACTGAAGCCCAGAATGGGGCACTGACCCCCAAACTGGATTCTCACCGGGTTGCCAGTTCCTGAGCCCACTCACCTACCTGCCCCTCTGCTCACAGCCCAGCCGGCCCTCCCCATGGCCAAGCTTTGCCCCCGTCCCCGGGGCCAGCCCCAGGGTCACCAGCCCGAATGGTCTCAACCCACTCGATCCTCACGACCCCCTTCCCTGTACAACCCCCCGAACCCCGAACTCTCTCCCACGCAGCCCCGCCCCCCGCAGCAAAACCCACCAAATAAATGAGGGACGCACCATCCCCAGCTCCCACCGATTGGCCCTCGGTCCCCCGAGAGTCCCGGCTCTCCCTCTGGTCCTCCTCGCTTCCCTTCTTGTCTCCCCGAGTGTTCCTTCCCTTCCCCAAGCTCCTCGCCAAGCCCCCTCCCCTCGCGCCCAGCCCTCCCTTCCTCACCTAGGGCCGGAATCGCCGCTCCACAACCGGACTCGCGGGCCCGGGGGCGCATGCGCGAGCCCGGCCCCGCGGCTCCATGACAACCCGGTCGTCGCCGAGTGTCGGGCGATCCCCCGCGCTCGCCGCCCGGCCTCCGCCCATTTCTCCTCCCCCCGCCTCCGCGGCGGCGTCAGCCGGCCACGTGACCGGCTCGGAGGACCCGGCACCACCGAGACGGCGCGCGGCTCTCCTAGACGAGCCCTCCGCCGCGAGTGGGGCTCGCGCCTCTCCGGGCGGCGCGGACGTCCCTCAGAAGCCCGCGCGCTCTCCGCGGAAGGCGCGCGTCTCTATGGTTGGGGCCCCAGGTCCGCCGCCATTTTGCGCGGGGGCCGTGAGCGCGCCGCCAGCCGGGCGCGGTTTCCAGACGGGGTTTGGAGAAGCCGGCCGTGGGCCAGCGTGGTCCCCCCGCGGGAGCGGCTGGCGAGGGAGCGAGCCAGGCTGCTCTCGTTTCTCCGCCGGGACCCCGTGAGGGCGGGCCCCGCGACGGGCCCCGCTGCCTGGCACGCGAGCCGCCGGCGCCTCAGCCTGAGGGAGGCGGGCCCGGCCGCGCCGCGCGCGGATCACGTTTCTGCCGCGCCTGTGGCGGCTGCGCCCCACCCCCATGGCCGGCCGCGGGCGGGCGCCGTCGGGGTGTGTGTGGCCCGCGCTCGTCGGTCGGGCCCGGCGGGGCGAAGGGCCGCGGTGCGCACGCGCCGTCCGCGCTGCCGTCGGTTAAAATCGGGCTGCGTTGGCTCGTGGGTCGGTGCCTAGATTAGAAGAAATGCCAGCACCGGCAAAGGGACGAGGGTGAGCTTAAGATTGCTGACGGTCAGAGGCGAATAACCTGGTCCCTCACTCCTGGGGCCTAGTGAATTCGTAAAAATGAAATCAAAGAAAAACCCCAATTTCTCACCCGGGACGCTGCTCACGGCACACCTGTGGCTGCTTCGGTGGCGGGCAGAGTGCAGGTCGCCCGGGGCCAGGGTCAGGACGGCGCCGGCTGGGCGCTGGGTGGGGGCTTTTGGTCAGGGGCTGCTGGGTCGTTCTTGACCCCTCGGTCGTCCGGAGACGCGATGGCGACGCATAAGCGCTACCAGCAAATAATTGCACTGCCCATGTTGGGGGTCCGGTGATGGGGGCACAGTTGTTGGGTCCCTCGGAGAAGGAATGCAGACGGCCCATTCACCTGCACTGGGCAAGTTTATTACCAAAAGGAAAGAGACCCCTGCACACACAGGAGGGCAGAGAGCTGGATTTTGCCCGAGCAAAGGGGTGCTCTTGTGGTCTTTGATGGAATTACTGTGGAGTGCATATAGCCTTGGGGTCAGGTCTGGTTGGTCTGCTGTGACTGATACTCCTCTCTGCCCGATAATCTCTGCCTGATAATCTTTTCTGACCTCACCTGAGATTCCAGGAAACAGCTGTTTAAGATTTGTTAATCATCCCTGCCCTCGCCTCTGGTGTTTGTCCTTAAGAGACCTTCCATCCAGTTTGTCTATACAAGCTGCCATCACTGCAGGATATAAGGCTTAGTTTAGGGGGTGAAGAGAGGGAGAACAATAGTTAACAATTATCAAGTGAGGGCCTCCCTGGTGGTGCAGGCGGTTGAGTGCCTGAGCACTGCACTGTGAAGCTGTCTGCAGCCTCTGCAGTGTGGGTTCCATCCTGGCCGGCCAGGGAGAGTCCCACATGGCCCGGCAGACCTCTCCTGTCTCTCCCGCTGCTCCCGTCAGCAGTGTATTTCATCAGTCTGCCTGTTCTGCTCCCCACTGTGTGTGAGAATTCTCTCACACACACACCACACCACTCACCCCGCATCTCTGGCCTGTGCCCCAGTTCTTGTATAAATAAGTAAATCTTTAAAAAAAAAATCAAATGATTAAGATAAATGCAACTTTGCACATTCCTGTGATGCCTTGACACATTCATGAGGTTGGTGCTATGATCATTTCCAGGACATAGAAGAGGGCACTGAAGTTTATTCTCATAACACAACTGCTAAAGCCAGGATTTAAAAAAAATTTTTTTTAATTGCGGTAAGGTTGGTTTACAAGACTACTTGTTTTACAAGCACAGGTTCACACATCTCGCGTGTGTCGCCACACCGCCCACCAGCAACAGAGCAGATGTGCCAGGGAATTCACTGGGCCTCACCCCCTCTGGTAGCCTCATTTCCCCCTTGGATTTCTAGGGTGTGATTTATAAATCCCCAACTCTTAATCATTAAGCTACATTGCTTCTTTAAAAAAAAATATTTATATATACAAGAACTGGGGTACAGGCCAGAGTTGAGGGGGGGTAAGAGGATTCTCCAGAGACAAAGTGGAGAACAGAACAGGCAGATCGGCTGAAATACACTGCTGAGGGGAGCAGCGGGCGAGACAGGAGAGGTCTGCTGTGCCATGTGGGTAGTTCCCTGGCGAGGGTTGGAACTCATGCTGCAGTGGCTGCGGATAGCCTCGTAGGTTGCCTTGTGCCACCAGGGAGGCTCCTACATTGCTTCTTTTTGAGGTACAGTAAGACAGTCTGCCTTCCAGCACCTTAGAATCTGACATGGGAAATAAAGGCATACCCTAATAGGCAGTATGAGAGGATTTGTTCAGAGAATTCTGACAAAATCTAATGTTTTTGTTGTTGGAGGAATAGACCTTGAAGTAAAGTGTTAAGAAGGACAGCTGAAAGACTTACAGTAATGAAGTGAGTGATGTGAGCAGATGAAAGTGAATAAATGAAACAACCAAAAGCATAGAAGCATTTTAGTCCTTCAAAGGTGCAGGGAGTCCAAGTTCCCTAAAAAACTACAATGCTATAGTAAAGGTAAATTTGGTAGTGGAACTAAATGAACAATATCAATATATGGATAGAATTTTTTTAAGCTGGGTGTTCCCTGGTGGCTCAGGGGTTAAGGCAGCGCTATCAAGCTACCACCAGTCCCCCAGCCTGGGGGCTGACACACTTGGGCAGCAGACCTCTCCTGTCTCCCCTGCTGCTCCCCTCAGCAGTGGATTTCAGTAGATCCTCTTGCCCTGCTCCCCACTCTATCTCTGGTGACTCCTCACTCCCCACACCTCCTGCCTACACCCCAGTTCTTGTGTGCATTAAGTAAAAAAATCTTTTAAAAAGAATTTTTGTTAAACTATGTATGGTGATCAAGCAATGTTAAAAAAAAATGCCTTTGTTCATTCACCGGGGTTTGTAACGCAACATCTCTGTTGACAGTACCCTGGTGCCAAGCGTTCTTTAAACCTCTGTTGTCACAGTCTTGTTCAGGCTGAGCTCTCAGGGAGGGAGGGCGGGTTCCTAAGCACCGTTTCTTCATGTAGAGTCATTGCCCTGTTGAGACCTCAGTACCGGGTGTGGTTCAAGACTGATTTTGCCGCCACCTGCCGGCAGAGGGAGACCTGCTCCCTCCAATGCTGTGCTTGTGGGTAGGCAGAGGCCTCCTCTCCTTTCTCACGTCCTGGAATGGCGCAGGGTGGAGGTCTTAAACTGCACCTCTGCCCAGCTGTCTTCATTTTATCACCTGCCCTCTCCACGTGAGAATTAGCACCATCTGAGTTTTATGTGAAGATATTTTAAAGTATGCAATATAGTATATGATTTAAAACGTTAATACTGGGGCCTCCCTGCTGGCGCAAGGAGGCACTATGAAGCAATCTGCAGTCTCTGCAGCACGAGTTCCATCCCCGGCCGGCCAGGGAGCTACCCACAAGGCGCAGCAGACCTCTCCTCTCGCCCGCTGCTCCCCTCAGCAGTGCTTTCGATCTGTCTGCCTGTTCTGCTCCCCGCTCTGTCTCTGGTGGGTCCTCTCACCACCCCTGCATCTCTGGACTGTACCCCAACTCTTGTATGCATAAATAAATAAATCTTTAAAAGAAAATAAAATGTTGATACTTATTTAATCCTTTTAATATTTAAAGTTTTATTTACAATTGAATTCCTTAAATATTTAAAATAATTAAAGTTAAAAATTATTTAAAAGTTAACATACTGGCAGGGAAAATATTCAACAGGTTGAGTTTCAAATCCCAGCTCCCATCAATATCATTTTATAAAAGAAGGATCATTTCAAGATTTTTCCCACATAGCCACAAGGAAGGAAGATAGGCTATAATCTCACAATCAAAAGATGGAATAATTTCTGCTTTATGAAAAATGCATTGCATTCTTATTTTTCCAGTTTTGCTGAGGACCAGTGAAAACATCACCATAAGGACTGGGATCCTCATTTCTTTTTTTTTTTTTCCTTTAAAGATTTATCCATTTATGCATATAAGAACTGGGGCACAGGGGGAGGGATTCATGAGAGACAGTGGAAAACAGAACAGGCAGACTGACTGAAATACACTGCTGAAGGGAGCAGCAGGTGAGACAGGAGAGGTCTGCTGTGTCATGTGGCTTGCTCCCTGGCTGGCTGGGGATAGAACTCGTGCTGCAGAGGCCATGGACAGCTTCACAGTGCTGTGCTTAACCCTGTGCGCCACCAGGGAGGCCTGGGATCCTCATTTCTTACACCAGCATTTGAGAACCGTCTTGTATTTTGAACATTGTAATAAAATAGTTACCCTCTAGTTTGAATCCAGCATTAGTAGTGCTGACCAAGTCACAGTTTTTTAAGAGGTTTTGATGGGTGGTAAGTGTGTGTATGTCCTGGAGTCCCAGAAACGTGCATTAGTGACCTGTGAGTGGTCAAAGGGATCTATACGTGCAGGTGCCCCCCTGGCAGAGCAGAGGTGGGAGATAGCAGCATACATGATCCTTTCCCTTGACTGTCCGGTGACTAGGCGCCTACCAGCCAAGTTGGTTCTTGGCTTTGGATTTGTATTCCAAGCCTTGCTTTTAGCTACCCTGCTAGACTTCTCCGTGTTACAGTGGAAATGGTAATGCCACACCCTTTCCTGCTGTGCTGAGAAGGAAGCCAGAGGGGAGCCAGAAGGCCCTAGATAGAAGCTCTTATGTGGAAAGAATGCCAGGAATGGAGACTGGGAACTGTAAAGGCAAACTCTGCAGAAAACTCCTCCATCTGGTCTTCTTTTTCTTTTACTCTGAACCTGATAGAGATAGTTGAGGGGAAGGGGGTAGAACTTGCTGATTTCAACCTAGATAATCTCTCCACACTACCCAGCAGCTACCATTTACCTGTTAGAGCCCCTATCTAAAATCATTTTGGTGGAGAGATTTTGCGAGTATCATCTCCTGCCACTGAAGTCTTTGATTTAGACTTACAGCTCCTCTTTCGCTAATGACCCAGAAAGCTACTTTGTTGTCCCTTTGTTCCTTACCATTTGATTTTTGACATGTAGGTTTTCCTTGGCCTCATATCTTGCCTTATGGACTCCCCTCCTTTCTCAAAAAAACTTTGGATCCCAGCTGAGTTTCCCCAGCATGAGATGACCAAAAGGCACGGAATAGAGGCCAACCAGCAGAAGGCCAGGCAGAGCAGGAACTCCAGAGAAACCGCCCGCATCAGTCATAAGAAGCTGTCCACAGAGGCCGAGGTCAGGAGCAGCCTCCGCACAGACATTAATTATTCCTCACTGTCTCTTGGGGCTTGATCCAGATTGGTTTGCATTGTCATATCTTGCTACCTATCTGTCTCCCACACTGGAGTCTAAGTGCCTTCAGGGCTGGCTTATATCTAATGCTTTTCTCCCACAAAGTGAATTCTACATAGTGGTCAACTGACTGACATTGGTGGGACCCCTCTTCCCTGGAGATTTAACAGTGGGCTCACAGAACTCCAGAGAAGGAAAAGATGCCAGCGGCCAGGAGAATGAGTGACCGGTCGAGGCAGGGCGACTGGTCGA